TCAGCAGGGTCAGAGAGTGGGTCAGAGTACACTGACCACCAAACTTTGACCCACCACAGAATATCTCACATCTATTTTGATTATTTTGCATTCTTTGCAACACGTGCTCATCCCTGTTCATCTCCACTTCACCGCTGCACAGATACAACACACACACACACGACATATACCACCCATCCCACGAACTCCGCTCATCTCCGCTCTCAGCTCCCAACCGCCACGCAACCAGGAGCTGATCCAGCGTGTGATCCCCTTCGTGATTCGCCGCTTCCTCCCGGACAACACCTACGAGGACTGGAAGGCACGCTGGAAGCCGCTGAACGGTGGCCACGGGTCGCGGCTTCGCCCGGTGGAACGGGAGCGGGTGAGCAGCCGTCGTGCACGGGAAGGGGGAATGGGTTCTATGGCCGCAGTCTGTGGGTTTTTGGTTACGCTGGCTTTTTTGTTGGGGAGCTGGTGGATTCAAATGGTTCAGACAAAGTGTAACATGTGAGTGAAGGGAAGTCATGAAGAGGTTTTAGTTTTGGGGCTACCCTTTATCATCCTTTTATCTTTGCCTACGTGGATGCCCTAATAGAATCGAAAGTGGCAACTCCACCCCGATAGATGGCTGCAACTTGCCGTGCCGCATGGCAGCATGACAACGAGAATCGATTGATGTCGATGTAGAGGCCCCCTGCCCCTCCGCACGTGGGAAATCATCCACAAAGCGACCGATGGTGGGGATACCCGAGGGCCATGAAGCTGTAATTGGATATCTAGACCTCAACCGGTGAGTAGGTGGCAGCAGCCTGAAGACTGCGATTGTTGATGCGGCTAACACAGGAGCTTGCCCCCACCCAAGGCTTGAGTAGAATTTGCGCGTCACCTTTATTGTTGTTGTTACGGCACACTTGGCATGTGAGGTAAGGCTTGCAGGCGGTCTACACTTTTCCTTTAGCTATAGTGCAACAATGTCACGCTCTGACAGCTGTGGCAGCGCTCTGACAGACATGACACTGACCTCAACAAACTGGTGCAGGCCTGCTGGCCAATCACACCAGACAGAGACATAGTGTCGTAGCATGTCGTAGCATGGTTTTGCTTAGGGTGATGTTTATATAGGGGTAAATGCATGTAAATGCCCTTTTGTTTGTCAAATTGTCCGGTTCCTTAATCACATCCAAGCTAGGGAAAACCCATTTCATGTGCAGGGGAAGACTGGTATGTGATGGCTTTGTTTTTTTTTGTTCCGATGGGTTGCGGTGCTATGATCCACAACCTAGTGGATCGGTGATGGGATCTTCACGAGGGATTTGCAGGTGCACTCGGATGAACACGTGGAAGTGGAAGTGGATGGTGTGGCCCCTTGGAAACAGGGGGTGAACTCCTCTTCCACGTGATTGTTGAGTCAAATTGTAGAAGAATCATTGATCAATCCATCAGTCTTGGAAACATCAGTCTTGGAACTGATGATAAACCATTCAGTTTCTATGTCCAATCTATAGAATGTCAAACCTTGAGATAGTAAATTGCACCCTTCCTTTCACCTTGGGACGGCATGCAGAAGGACATCCGACAGGTTTCCTGTTGGGTTCCACTCTTTTGTCAACATTCCTGGTGTGTTGATTAGCTAAAAATATGATGAAGATCCAAAAACCACGCGGAGCAAACACTCGGAAAAGACTGAGAAAAATACGGCTTTGGATCCACTCCACTACCCTCTTACTTCAGATCTAACAGCAGTCGCACCTCATTCACCATGGATCCGCCGAACCGTCATCTCCCACACCGGTCGTGGGGTCGCCCACCAGGCGGCACCCGCGGAGTCTGTTGTTGTGGCCCTATAGCTCCACCAAACGAAGTGGAAGTGCAGGGTTCTAAAGGGCTTGCATCTGTAAAGCAAGAATCAAGGCCAAACATAGAGGCCCTTGTTCTTGGTGTTCGTTGCCCTGAAGTGGATGGCCTGGCCTCTTGGAAGACGGTGCTTTCCGAACACCAACTCCGGGCCGATGTGGCAAGCCACTTCGCCGGGGGCGGGACTCCAGGCGCTCCTCGTCGCACCTCCCGGACTCGCCGCACGCGCCAGGTCAGTGAGCTCCTGGACTTGGAATGAGCCGCGCAGCTGCTCCGTGGCGTGCGTGGCGTGCGTGGCGCGTGGCGCTGAAGACCCGCCGTGGCCGTGAAGGTCGTGTGGAAGATGGGCTGGTGCGAGCGAAAAAAGGGATGGCGTTTTGGCTGGAGAACGATATAGGTTGGCAGGGCGGTTGGGGGTCGGTTTAGGGTGGTTTGTTGAATTTGATTGTTCGAGTTTGGTTGATCAGCAATGAGGAGGTTTGGGCACTATGTCCGGATCAAGATGGATCCATCACCAAGTTGGATATATTTTATTATCCAAAGAGGATCTGGTGCGGTCATGTTGGATCATGTTGGATCTTGATGAACACCCACCAGAGTCACCAGAGGTTGAAGATGTTCAATCACATGCACTATAATGTAGACTCTTATGATTAATAAACACCCCATATGAAAAGGTTGTTCAATCTAAATGGGGAGAGTTACTAATCAAGAGTCTACATTAGAACCTGAGGGGTTTAGCAATCAAGATTCAACATTGCCCGTTTGAGGTGGGCATTGCCATCCGTGTTGCTCCTAGGATCGTTTTGCTGTTGTTTCTTTGCTTGTCGCGCCGGAGCAGTCGATGCGGATACGGCGTAGATGTTCCACAATCAGACTCTTGTTCTAATATGTAGGACATTGCCAGGGCCCCTAATATAGCTCCTTAGAGGTTAAGGGATGTCCATTGACCACCCCTTAGGGGGCCCTGGTGTAGGCCTCCTGGATTCTCTTTTTTCGTGTGGCCACACCTTCTTCAAAAGGTGTTGGAGCCCCAAGAGGCCATATGTTTAGCAGGCCTTCCGAGCAGTTGTTGTTAAAGGGCGGGTGTGAGGTCTTTAGCGCCAGGAGTCACAACTTAAGGGGATGTTCCTGGGAAACACCCCGGACCTCCTCCCGTTCGGCAAAGGCCATCCCGTGTCGAACTCGTCAGACTCTCTAGCAAAGCGGTTTCGGGACGGAGACCAGGACCGGGACCGGGCAACGGGACTGGGGCGGGCGTGTTCGGCAGGGAATGCGCTGTAGCCATCTGCGAACAAAGCACAACAACAACATTTGGAAGATCATCACAAATCCTTGGCAGAGTTGCCAGTGTTCTTTGGAAAATCATTTTTGTTTGAGGTGAATGAGTCTCCCGCTGCTTTGCTAGAAACGTGGTCTTGTTGTCGAACAGTGGAAGCTATATACTTGACAGGACAAGAGCTCACTGTTCTGCCTGACAAGTGGGCGTGGCGACTTAGCAGGTGAGAAGCACATCGAACATAGGATGAATCCAGACGACATCCATTCGCTTTGTGCCCAATGACCGCAGGGGTCCTCATTTTTGCTGATCAGGAAGGGGCTTGGGGAGGGCGGTCTAAGCATGTAACATATATACACTGAAAGGGGTGCATATTGGAGGGTAGGGGTGCCCAGTATTCACTCACTGACTCAAAACCGCTGCTATCTTTTCTGCAGATGTTTTGGTCGGTGCGGCTTTCGCTCGCTGCTCGTCCGTTTTCCAGAGGGGAGTCGAACGGCTCGGCTGCTTCGTCCGTTCGACGTTCGGGTCGAGCTGGGAAACAGGTGAACCACAGACTCCTCGGGCTCCTCCGGCCCGAAAACGGGGGATTCGATGCTGGGATGGAGGCCCATTTCGGACGTTCCACGAACTGTTTCGAAGCTGGGCCATGACCCTGTTTCTTCAAGGATCTTCCTTCCTCAAAATGAAAGAGACACCCAGCAGCGTTTTCTGATGTTTTCTTGTAGACTGGTGATCCCCGGCTACATCGATCACGTGTTTTCCAGTAGGCAGATGTTCGTAGATTAACGGTTGGTTTGGGTCGGTCCGAACTTGCCTGTAACAGCACCTGGTGCAAGACGCAAATCAATGTTTGAACTGTCGGCCTGCAACGGCCTCGGCCCCATCATCATCCAAAACGGGCCCTGGATGACAAGGATTTTACCTTTGAGGGATGGCTCTTTTGGTACGTGAACCGATGAAAGGAGCGATAGATTCATCATCTCAAAGCGTGCAATGCGTGCAACTCAGACCCTGAAGCGCCCTTAGGCACCTCTTTAGAGATGTTATTCCGGGATCCGGGCAAGACAAGCGTGAATCCGTGGCGTTCGCGAGTCCACCGTTGCATGGGAACCATGATCCAGCATCACATGACACGGTTCTTGCCCGTGGAGTTCTCACAGTTCTTTCGTGGGGAGTTCTCGGAGCCATGCAGACCTTCAATGGGTCCGGTTGGGCGCTCGAAAGACGTGAGGCACTGCAGGTCATTCCTGTTGTTTGACGTGCGTTCTCTTGAGCTCATGGAGTTTGAATGGACCATGCTCGCGTCCATCGCGCGGTGAAGCAGAGACATGAAGTCAGTTGGAAGACGTTCGATCAATCCAGCGGAAACATATCCGAGAATCTATGTACGTATTATTGTTTGTATATATACTCAACTCAACTGTTATGTTGCTTCTTTGTTTGTTGTTTTTGTATACACTTATCGACTCATGTCACAGATGAATACAGAGCATCAAATAAGATGCGACACCCTCCAAACTGGAAATAATGAAACGATGCATTGAAAAAGAAAACAAACCTCTGTGAGCGAACACCGCATGATCGTTTCTGCAAGAAATAGTTGGTTTTAAAAAAAACAACGAAAAACAAAAAGAAAGAAGCAGTGAAACACATGCATATAAAACTATACTTATCTTATCATATTGTTATTATCATTTCATTCCAACAGACCAAAACTTGTTTCAATAAGCAGAAGTCACTTACAATGAACCCTCTGCTGCCTTTAAAAAGGGGCCACCGTTTCTTGTTTCAACAACCGGGCGTCGCGTCCCTCCGCCGCGCTTCTTACCGGTGGCGTCCCTCCGCTCCGATGACCCTCGGCGATGGCGTGGGCTTTGATGCCATGGCGAGCCGTCACGCCAGCCGCAAGCCACTCGGCGAGGGTTCGGCGATCGACTTCAGGGCGTTTAGGACTTCCAGTCCGAAGGACGAATCCGGGGGGAGACGTGGGGCGACGTGCGCCGTTCAACTGCGAGGTTCGCAGACGACGAATCCCTTGTTGGTGGGGTTCCGTGGTTCTCTGACCCTATAGGGCTCCAGTCGTACCTCCTCAGAAGGTACTTGGAATGGGAATGGGTGAAAAGTGGGGGAAACATACAAACGGACCCTCCATAACCCTCGGGGTGCCCTGTCGCCGAACGGCCGGTCGGTGTGGGGTAGTCCGGACACCCCGAGGGGTCGGAGGGTCCACGTACGGGATCCAATTCGAGAAACTGTTCTGCCCTAAGGATCCGCACCCTCAAAAACAAGGGTTTGGTTCGGGGCCCCAAACCCTTGTGAACTAGAGGGTTCGACCCCTTCTAAGGAGGGTCCAAGGATCCTTAGGGTGGTTGAAATCACCAGGAAAGATTCAACCTGACCCCCCTAAAAACCGATACTGTAGGACAATCGTCACACGATTTCCTGTGGTTTCCTGTGTTGTTTCATAACTGGATGCTGAAAGACGGTTTTTGGCCTTTACGAATTAAAACCAACCAAATATCCCAAACACTCCATGAGACTGCCATATATGCCTACATTGACCCCTCTGGCACCACCCCTGGCCGTTTCTCGGCAGTCCGTCCTGGCAGTCCCCGATGGCGGTCGTGTTTGGGTGCTGGAAGCACCAAATTTGGGGTTGATGCAATACACAGTTTATTCAAAACCATCCCTAAGGGTCCAGGACCATCCGATTCGGATGTCCTTTGACCCCCGTTCGACCATTCTCTGGTTTCGTACGTACGAAATCCTCCGGCGACCATCCGTTTCGTACGGAGGTACCTGGACCCGAACTGGGCATATTAAAACCAACAAAACATGGTAGTAACAAGAAGGCTAGTAGTAACAGGTGCCTTACTAGTAGTAACTAAGTGCGTAACTTACTAGTATAGTAACAAGAAGCTATAGTATGGCAGAATGGAGTGTAAAGTAGGCTTTGATTCGTGGTCGGCGGATCCACCGGTCGCGTCGGATCCACTGCTTGGACGGGTCGCGTCGGAAAACCACGTTGGACCGGGTTTTTGGGCCTGGTGGGTGGGTCGAACGTGAGATTGCTTGCGTGTGTCACTTGGAAAGAGCAGTCCCTTTTATACTTATAATATTAAAACAAAAAAACAAGTGTATACACTCTAGATAATTGCAATATAATGTATACTGCAATACCTACAAGAAGCCTTATCGCATCTATTTGATATGACAAGCTTGTTTCACTTGGTCAGCAGGAAGTGTTTTTCAAGAAAGGAACGGTCCCAAAGGGGACTACCCAGACGCTCAAGGGCCCTCATATGGAGGGGTCCGGACCCTCAAATCCCTATGGTTTTGAGGGACCAAGGGCTGTTTGGAGCGTCTGGGTTTGTGAATTCCATGACATTCAAGGCCCCTCAAGGCCCCTAGAGCTGTAAGAGCTGTAAGAACGGACTTTCATTGGCACACCTGGTCAAAAAGACCGAAGATGGGGCTGCTATGATTTTGGGGTTCAGGGGTTGTTTTTTTTTTGGGGGGTGGTTCAGATTTTTTGCAATCCTGTTGCCACTGGTGCTAAGACAAACTGGACTCGAAAAGGTCTCAAAATTGACCTTTTCAACTTCTATTTCTTCTAAAGGGAGGACAAAGCAGACGACCAGTGAAGTGTCGTGAGACTTTTCTAGTCTTCATTGTATTTTGTTTGTTGCCCAAGCGTTTTTTTGTGGGTTGAATTGAGCATGTTTGGCTGGCAGATCATGGGCTTTTCATGACAAGTTCGAACAGTCATTCTGCATATCAAGTCGGCGATTGCCTGGGGCGACGTGACCAGCTGTGATCGAACTCGTTGCAGCGTCGTTGCGGTGCGGTCGGCGCAGTCTAGTGAACAAGCGTAGCGGTCAACGCAGTCGTTCGCAGTCTTGGTCGATAACCAGCCAAGCAAATAGAAAACAATAACAAACCAGTTAACTGTGTTACAGGTTGTTGACTTGCAGAAACAGCCCTTCCCCTTGCAGCTGTTTTGTTGTTTTTTTTGTCCTTTTGCAGCCGAAAGAGTCTGACCATGGCTTCTTCGCCGGCGCCTCTTGCTTCGTTTCATCTCAATGATGCAGGTCACGGCTTTGTCCGGCGAGACAGTTGCGCAGCTTGGTGAGGATGACATCCGTCGGATGGTGGAAGGTAGGACATCCATTCGGGATCTAAAGAAGTTCCTTTCCGCTCAGGTTGGATGCTCCAGGTTTCGGCAAAGACTCTTCAGTGACGAACTCGAACTGCAGGATGACATGCTGGTAAGACCACTACGGAGTGTACGGCTCGTAATCCTGCCCCTTTGTCCTTTTGATAAGACTGCGGAGGAAGAACTGCTTCGCGAGTGTGAGGCAAATGATGTGGATGAGGTTGAAAGACTGCTTCAAAAACCCCAAGATCCAAATTTGGCAACAAACAGAAACGGGGCAACGGCTTTGATGGTTGCAGCAAAAAATGGCCACCTGGAACTCGTCCGATTGTTGCTCGAGGCTGGAGCTGAGACAGCTGCAGCAAACACACATGGGGTAACGGCTTTGATGACTGCAGCAAAAAATGGCCACTTGGAAGTTGTGCGATTGTTGCTCAACGCTGCAGCTCACACAGATGCTTTCTACAAAGATGGGTCTAATGCTTTGTTGCTTGCAGCTCAGAAAAGCCACTGGAACGTTGTGCGCTTGTTGCTCGAAGCTAGAGCTGACAAAGATGCATTAATTGCACACGCGGCAACTTTTTTGTTGCCTGCAGCCGACAAGGGCCACTTGGACGCTGTGCGGTTGTTGCTCAAGGCCGGAGCTGACGCAGATGCTTCAGACACAGATGGCGCTACTGCTTTGTTGCTTGCAGCTCAGGAAGGCCACTTGGGAGTTGTGCGCTTGTTGGTCGAGGCTGGAGCTGACAAAGATGCAGCAAACAAAAAAGGGATATCGGCTTTGTTGATTGCAGCCCAAAATGGCCACTTGGAAGTTGTGCGCTTGTTGGTCGAGGCTGGAGCTGACAAAGATTCAGCAAACACAGATGGAGTAACGGCCTTGATGATTGCAGCAAAAAACGGCCACGTGGAAGTTGTGCGCTTGCTGGTCGAGGCTGGAGCTGACAAAGATTCAGTAAACACAAATGGCGCAACATCTTTGATGATTGCGGCTGACAGCGGCCATGTGGAAGTTGTGCGATTGTTGGTCGAGGCTGGAGCTGACAAAGATTCGACAAACACACGGGGGGCAACGGCTTTAATGATTGCAGCTCAGAAAGGCCAGTGGGAAGTTTTGCGCTTGTTGCTCCAGGCTGGAGCTTACAATGATGCAGCAAAGGCAAATGTGGCAACCGCATGCATTGTTGCAGCCAAAAAGGGGCACTTGCAAGTTGTGCGATGTTTGCTCGCGGCTGGAGCTGACAAAGATGTAAGAAACACAAATGGGGCAACGGCTTTGATGTTGGCATCTCATGACGGACACCTGGAAGTTGTGCGATTGTTGCTCGATGCTGGAGCTGAGATAGATGCTTCACACACAGATGGAACAACAGCTTTGATGTTCGCGGCTCAGAACGGCCACTTGGAAGTTGTGCGATTGTTGCTAGAGTCTGGAGCTGACAAAGATGCAGCAAACACAAATAGGGTAACGGCCTTGATGGTTGCAGCGAAAAACGGCCACTTGCAAGTTGTGCGCTTGTTGGTCGAGGCTGGAGCTGACAAAGATGCAGCAAACACAAATGGGGTAACGGCCTTGATGGTTGCAGCGAAAAACGGCCACTTGGAAGTTGTGCGCTTGTTGCTCGAGGCTGGAGCTGACAAAGATGTGGCAAACAGAAGAAATTGTGAAACGGCTTTGATGTTTGCAGCTTAGAGCGGCTGCTTGGAAGTTGCGCGATTGTTGCTCCATGCCGCATCTAACAAAGATGTGACAACCACATATGGAACAACAGCTTTGATGTTCGCAGCTCAGGAAGGCCACTTGGGAGTTGTGCGCTTGTTGGTCGAGGCTGGAGCTGACAAGATGCAGGAGACACAAATGGGGCAATGGATTTGAGGCTTGCGACACAGAGTGGCCACTGGGGAGTTGTGCAACTGCTGACTGAAGTTGGAGCTGACGTTGATGTTGAAAGGAATTGCCGTCAGCTTAAGCTTTGTTCTATTTTCTAGTCAAGTCCATCAGTGTGGTCTCAGATGTGACCGGCAGATGGATGTGTTGAAAAAGATTGCCGTCAACTCAGGTGACGTTCAGATGTGCGGGTGGGTGGTTCACCTGAGACATGAGCTCATCTTGGAGTGTGGGCACGTTCTGAGCATGCATGTTTGTTGGTGGCAAGGGTTGGAATTGGATTTGTGATGCTGTGTCTGTGTCTGGAAAAGACTCCGATGCGATCTCGTTTTTGGATTTCAGTTGGGTACCAGTCAACACTGAACCCCGCAACATCATCAAAAACAGTGGTGAACCAGGCAGGACCTTCTTAAAGTGTCCTTTTGAGATCCCAGAATGATGTCACTTAGTCCCTGAAGGGGTCACTTACAGACTCCAAAGAGGTCACGTACTGAAGGTCCTGGAACATGCCGATGTGATGACTATTTTTTTGCTCATAGCTATGAGCTATAGCAGCTATGCATCCGCAGAGCATCCGCAGAGCATCGCAGAGCCATACACAAATCCTTCCGCCAGTGGACACCAGATGAGGAGCTTCTAAATACCAGGACTCTCCTTCTGTCGGGGTGCCCTGCCTGGAGGCCTAGGCCGGTCGTGTGGGGTAGTCCAGCCAGGACACCCCGACAGGAGTTGTTTCTAAATATATATATATATATAATTTCTTGACAGAAATAGGTATACCTAGCACTTCCAATGGGTGCGCAATGGAGACCTGTAAGTACGGTAGGATAGTCTATTGGACACCCATTGGATGACCCTGGTATGTTTTGTTGCAGCTCAGATAGCCTTAGATAGCTCGAGCGCTCTGAAGCAGTCACCACTGTGACCTAGGCCATCCCTCATCCTGGAGGAGGAAATGCCAGGACAGGTTCGCACACCTCACACGGCCACGTTGCATCATTCCTTCAGCGAACTCTGTGGCTTCAATGCCAAACACAATAACTCCCCAGGACCCTCCTGTCGGGGTGTCCTGGCTGGACTACCCCACACTACCGGCCTAGGCCTCCAGACAGGGCACGGAAGGAGGGTCCTGGTATAGTAGGGCGTCCTCTCCACCACCCTGGGGCCCCCGTCGGCCCAATCGAACCGAACCGTGCTTCGGGGGCGGGAGCCGGAGCCCCTCCCTGAAGGCTTGATCCTTCATTCCCGTTTGGGCTCCTGTCCCATCACCTCAGGTTCGGTGGTCTCCCACCCCCTTGGCATCCACCCCAATGATCGTCGAAACGGTGAAGATTGAAGGCATTAAGTTGATCTGCAAAAGGAAACCATGATTGGAACCCGTTCGGGCTCCAACTCCCTACATGAGGTTCGGTGGGACTGGGGTGGGTGCCCGGGGGCCTCGAATACCACCTAGGAGGCCAGGGCCAGGAACGGAGCCCGTGCCAGGGATACACGAGCTTGAACGGCTCGGTGTTTGGCTGTGCATGAAATGCAACTGGGTGGTGACAGGAACCATCCAAAACTAGCTGCTGCTCTTTGTGGGAAGCCACTTGGAATGGCTTCCCATAGGCTGTGAATGACAGAGGGCGAGGCCCCAAAACACGCCTTCCTGTAGTTTCCTACAGGAGCGAATTCTAACTCGGCGGTGAGTTCTGACTCAGCGGCTTTCTCGATCAACAAAAGTATTTAATAGATAATAATAGATAGTCTTTTCAAGATCCCAGCAATTGGAGTCACCGTCTTGATTTCGGGATGCAGTTTGATCAACACGTTCGTCCACCCCTTCAGATACGGTCAGATACCCAAACACTCCATGGGACTCCTACATTGACCCCCAGAACCACCCCAACTGATCGGCATATATGGCAGTCCCATTAGTCGTGTTTGGGATAGGCGTCCCTAAAGGAACCGTTTTCACCAGGTGATACTGCTCGTCCGCCTCGGTCACTCCACGGACGAGCACGACGAGAGCGAGCGGAAGCTTCCAGAAGAAGCAATCTTCTTACCAGGGCCCTTCAAAACCATGAAAAAACAAAGGTTTTTGCTAGGGAAAACAAGGTTTTTGATGGTTTGTGGGGCCCCTGGTAGTAGATGGTTCCTGTTGGAAGCGTCACATTTTAGGGTTTATGCAACACACACAGTTTGGAAGAGGGCAGCTCCTGGTGAGGCAGCTGCCCATTCTGTTTGTTGCAGGTGGAGTTCCTTGCAGCCTGACTTTTTGCAGCTGGTTGCATGCGCCATGGGCGAGACTTCTTTTTGGAGATTGGTTTCGCTAGCAAATCCATGCGAGTTAGCAAGTTAACAGGTGAACCCAAGGTAAATGTTGTTTCGAGGGGGTTCCTTTGCGCGCATTTTCAGTTTGGTGACTTTTTTAGTGCACCCAGAGCCACCAGAGCCGCGCGTTTTGGCTTGCTCCAGCAACTCCAGGAGTGTCCAGCAACGGCTTGCTCGGGGTGAGCTTTGAACAACTGGCAGCTTTGGTGAACAGCCGGGTGTTTGAAGGGGTCCAAAAGGGTTATTCCTTACGGTTTTGCTTTTGGTCTTCATTCCTGATGTTTTTGGAGAAGATGTGATGTGATCTTCGTCTTCGTGACTCATGACCAGCTGGTCTGGTCTACCTTTGTTTGTTTGTTGTCTTCTGTCTCCAAAACAGCTAGGTCTCTTCCATCGGATCTGGACTCGATGGACTCAAGGACTCACGGTGACCCAGGGTCCACCGGTCGTGGACACATGGCTGGGGCGGCAAGAGCAGCAAGAGCTGCAGAGCTCTCGTATCCCATTACCAACAGTGGAGGATGAAGGTCATATTTACTAGTACTTACTTTCTTACTTATACTTACTTTACTTTACTTTAGATGTTTGTTTATTTTACCTTACCTTACCTTACCTTCCCTTACTTACTTACTTACGATATCTTACGATGGATCATTTGGGATGTGTACACCTGCAGTGTGTAGTCCAAGTACCGAACTGGAAACGAGTCCCGGAGGCTCCGTACATTCCTCACATGACGTCATGTGGATGGCCTCAAGGCCTCAAGGACCATGTTCAAAGCATGAAATCCGAATACCAAACAAGTTATGTGCCATCCACGCTGGCCCATGATTGCAAGAAGTGTAGGGAGAAGACTTTGCCAATCAAACATGATGTCCGACATGTAACATGAACATCAGTGTTTCCCTGTGTTTCGGTCACTGGCTCTTTCAGAACACGGAACTCTTTCAGAACGCCGTGTTTCTCACGACGGCCAGGCCGTCGTTTGCGAGTCATGTCTCTCTTGATGCTCTCCACCTCCCTACACCTCCAAGTACCTCCTCACCCAGACGCTCCAAACAGCCCTTGGTTCCTCAAAACCATAGGGATTTGAGATTTGAGGGTCCAGACTATGGCTACTATACCTCCAAACACTTTATGGGACTGGCAGATTTACCTACCTTGACCCCTGAAACAACAGCCCCAATGTATGGATTCATATGCCAGTCCCAAGCAGGTCGTGTTTGGGGCCTTGTTTTATTGCTTTTCTGTTAGATAGACCGCGCTGCTCGTCTTCTTCCGTTCCTCCGACCGGGCATCGAGGCCAACCGGCTCATCCACCAGCATTTTGTCGAGGTGCGACTCCACCGCTTCGACGTGACGGGGACGGGGCGTGGTGCGGCAGCGCGGTTCCCGGTGGTTTCTCCGTCGCTGCGGATGGGATCAACTCCGGGATGAGGTCCGAAGAGATCCAGGCACCATCCCGTAGACGGGACTGGCAGATGAAAGCCGATCAGCGACCCCTTTTCAATCAACCACCTCTGGCCTGATGGGGTGTCATATGCCAGTGGACCATGTTCCGAATACTAAAACCATTCTGTGCCATCCGACACCATGATGATTTCAATGAGTGTAGAAGGGAGAACCATGGAGAACCACATTCCGGATTTCCACTGAAGATCAATGAAGGATGCAGAAACAACCTTTAGGGCTCCAGTCGTACCTCCTCAGGTTCGGTACGACTGGACCCTCCAAACCTCACCCACCCCAGTTCCCCAGTTCGGAAGTACGACGGGTGTCGCCCAAACGGAACATGAGTTCTCAGTGAACATCAGGAACTTGGCACTTCCTTTGCTTCCGTCCCTTCGGTCCCTTCCGTCCCTTCGGTCCCAAACTCTTTAGCAGTGTCGAAGCGGGCCCCCCATCACGTGGTATAGCAAGAAGCGGAAGCTTCGGGGTCAATGATAACTCATGTGGTAAGTGGTCAATGTCTTTGTTTTGGACACGTGGTCAATGGTATTCCCAGTAAGTCCAAAGACATTGGTAATTCATGTCGAAGACGCCTGTATCTATTCAGTGTTTAGGGCAGAGCATTAACTTCGCAACGAAGAACGCGTTCATCGAACACACGTCCCATCGGTGAAAGACATCTTGCACCAGGCAGGTGTACAAGGTAATAGGACTGTGAATTGTCGTCCCTCTGCGTGAGTGGATAGAAGCCTATCCTCCATTCAGCACCCATTGGAATTGCTGGAAACCGTTGTTTTGATGATACCCGGAAGAGACACATGCGGAAGCCGGGTTGGGATTCGGAACATCATCTTCCTAGCAGGTCCATGCCACGCCCGGTGCCAAGCCTGGGTCTCTACGCCCTCCCCTGTGTATCGATGTGATCTTTATGAGATCTTGTGGAACCACTCGACTTGGACTCCAAGTTGCACAAGATGCTGCACTTGACTTGGACCGTTTGGCCAGGTGTCGAATTTGGAGGCTCAACTGGAAGCCATGAAGGAGGTGTCGAATGTGCAGGAAGCCAGCCAAAATATGCACCTCGTCTGGATTTTGGCCGTTTTTTGGGGGGGAAGGATGGGTTGACGGTTGACTTGGCTTTGTAGTGTCAAATCCTCAGTAAAACAATGGTTGTTTGGGATTCAGACCCTCAAAAACAACGGCCAGACCAGGAATGTAAGGGTTGTGGGATGAGTGTAGGGAGGGGCTTCAACAAGGGCCCGATGGATTGGGGTCGAGGGAGGCAGCCGGCAGCGTGGCTGAAGCAGAGCACCAAACCATCCGGGGCCTACTCTCAGTGACAGTACCCAGGCAAAGTGGAGTTGACCGGCTTGCAGGTCACCTTGAGCAGGATTGGGGTGTAGGGCGAAGCTGATGGAGTCAGCTTTGGTGGCGCAGGACTGGTGCAAGCTACCGACCACAGGACTGGTGTTTACGAAAGACAAGGTGTTGGGTAAGAGGTGAAGGCAATGTTTACAACAAACACACACAACAACACATATATAACTGAAATACAGTATATATTAAATATTGGATTTTGAGTTTGCTGTTGTGGAGCCCTCGTGTGATGACCTACAATTGAGTTGTGGTTTTGTGAAAAAACAGGATCGGCCCTGTAGCTTTTGCAATCAACATGGAACATCGGTATCAGTTGGTCAAAGTAGAGGCATATACTGTATGCACAGCTGTTTGCAACATAGACTTGACCCCTCCCTCCTTTAAACATGGGTACATTGTAAAGTCCCCAGATTGTGAGATGGAACCGAAGACCAGAAGGTTGGAACAAGACCCTTACGTCTTTGGGCTTTTGATCCTTACACACTGCTACTTCAAAGGTGCTTCGTTGATACCGGGTGCGACTTGGGATCTATACGATACATACATACATGGGACCTCACGCAGTCTCAAATCTGTCATTTGTGTATCATATCCTACCCCAGAAATGGATTACAGTCACCTTTTTGGGGACTCCCCACTTCAAAAAACAACGGTTGGATCAGGTATTTTGGCATCTTCCAAGCATGTTCCGGACCTGCTCCGGAGTCAGGTATCAATGACTTCACACACCCACACACACCCACTGGCCACACGCCCTCACATTGAGTAACACACCCTGACATCTCACACCACAGAAGAAACGAAACAAGCACTGCTTTCAGGCGCGGACACGACGGATCGACGGATCGACTGGTCGCTGCGGACCGGTTCTTTCGACTGGTCGGTTCCTTCGCTCGACCTGAGGTCGGGGATGTCAGGAGATAGCCACTTCGACCAGCCGCCCAGTCCCACGCAGGAGCCGCGAAGCGGTTTCAGCGCGATGGCGGTAAAAAGCGGTACTTCAGCGTCAAAAGCGTCCGAGACCGGTTGGGGGGGGCCGGCGGAAAGAGTGACGGGAAGAGCCGTGCAGTGAGCGAGCTGTAGCGAGCTGTAGGAGGGTGAGTTCAATGTGAGTGATTTCGGGAAGTTGGCAATTCGGGTGAAGGACAGGTCACCACCCTCAGGCGACTTCCCAACATGGTTTTGAAACCCTAGGGTTCCAGTCGTACCTCCTCAGGTTCGGTGTGACTGGACCCTCCTGGCACCCACCCCAGTCCCACCTTCTTAGAAGGTGCTTGGAGCCCTAGGGAAAGTATAGAATGCCTTATACCAGGACCTGAGCCGTACGTGACCTCCTCCGAGTCTCTGGCTGTGACCTTTAGACCTCAGCCACTGGGATCTCAAGAGGTCACGAACGGCTCAGGTCCTGGTGTGAGATTGTATGTTTTCCATGATCCTTAAATGGATCAGGTGGAGTTAGGTAAGTGGGACCTCAGCTAGGGCCTGCCCAATGTTTCTTTGTAAAAGTATAACTTATGTTCCTGCATTTGATGCCTTTGGAGGGTCTGTCAACCCGCGCCTACATCGAAACAAGGCATGTTGGAGTTTCTTGTTTTTGTGAGACCTTCCCGTGCTTGCGGCGGAATGCGTTGGATGTCGACTTTCAGACCATCGAATCATCACCTTAACGTTCTAGTATTGCATGTCATTACCTATACGTATATGTTTGGTCCGGACTTTGCCAAACGGTACCTACTGGTGTCGCTCCTTGGAACCGCCTCAGGAGGGGCCGATGGGCCGACCGCGGCAGGTCTCGGTGGGAGGGAACAGCGTGGATGACCCGATGAATAGCAAGAGCTCCTTGGGCGGAAAAAGAACAACAGACACGACCGCCATCTGGGACTGGCATGACTGAAACTCGATCAGTTGGGGTGGGTTCTCAGTCGGGGTCAATGTGAATATGCCTCAGATGGGTCGTGTTTGGGCATGAACATCTGGGACTGCCATGTATGTTGCCCTATGGATCCACATACCTTCTGAGAAGGTGATTGGAGACTATTTATGTAGGCTTGGAGAGCCCACATACCTTCTGAGAAGGTGGCAGTGGATCCATAGTATTTGATCAGGCCAGGGGTGGTTTTTTCGTGGTCAATGTAGGCCCTATAGAAGTCCAAAGATATATTTTTTGACCGGCTCAAGTAAAGGAAGTTCCCGGACTCAGGTTCCCTAGTCAGACCATTCTAAGACCTTTATATAGTCTTCCCTTCAGGGAACTCCTGGGGGCAGGTGGAACCCCAAAAACTCCCCTTCCCTAAGACCGTCTTTGACTCCCAGGGTAGAGGCTTTCACCTGCCCCCATGGAGTGGCAGCCTCCGAGTCCTGATGATCCCACGGAGGGTGTATCGCCTGGCACCTTAAGCGGCAGCTCGCAGAGGCGGCCCAGCTAGCAGAGGTGTCTTCCCAATGAAAAGGGACAGGTGGTTCCATACAGAAGACTGGTCGTTTTGCTAGGGAAAAACAGGCTTCTGATGGTTGGTGGGGCCCCTGGAAGAACCAAACAAGAGTTCCGTTCTGCCACAAATCATCTCTGAGACGGACCCTTCTGCCACGTGGCATGCGCTGAAGCAGAAGGGTTTTTAACGGCATGCTGCAAGGTGTGAAGCTCACGAAATATGACTTTCCTTAGGGGTCCAAGTGCCTCCTCAGAAGGTAATTGGACCTCTAAACCCTTCCCAAACACCTTCTTAGAAGGTACGGGTTTGATTTGGATGAGTCTGAGTCGGGAATTCCAAAGGGGTGGAGTAGATGTTGTTCACCTATCACCGCTCCTATCCTCCACTTTGGCGCCAAACGCCAATCCAAAAGTATTTTTACACCGTTTGAAGCGGCTGCAGGATCAAACCTGTGATTAAAAAGAACAGCACTGGCACCGACCTTCGCAGGATTCATCCGATCATTCGATCATCCCAAACACAGATCCTTCTGAAGGAATGGCACTGATGCTTCTAAACCAGAACAGAGGCTATATAACCGCACATTTGCCTATAATTATATAAACCATTAGCAGACAGACAATACCATATGGCCATAGACTCCTCCAAGAATGACAACTCCTCGCGATCGTCGATGTGGTCTCAAGATCCAGGCGCCTCGGAGAAGATGTTGAAGTTCCGGCGCCGTGGAAGTCAGCTCTCCGCCACGAAGATCTTGTGCGTCTTCGAAGAAGACCAGCGCCTTGGGCGCCAGGGCGCCGGTGGCGGAGCTGGGCGCCAGCCAAGACGGGGCCAGCCCAGACGGGAGCTGAGAGTGCGGGACTCGGGTCGCGGTGCGCATTTGGTGGTGGTTTTGGATGCCTCGCAACTCTCCAGGCCAGTTGGTGAGGGGAGGGTGTCGTCAGACGGCCTTTCAAGGCCCCGGGTGGAATCCACATACCGGGTTCGGTATGACTGGAACTTCCTGGCGGCTTAATATATATAAGTGTCTCCAATCACCTCACAAAGTACCGTCATTGTGGATCCATATATAGCGATAAAAAGGTGGTTCATGGTGGTTCAATGTTGGCATACAGATACTTTGGATGTGTGTATGTGTTTTTTGGATTTAAGGTTCTTGTTTTCCCCGTGGATGGCCATTCCGCGGTTTGGCAGTACGGGGGCACTACTGCGGGGGTCGGATGCAGACAGCTTTCAAGCGAAAGATGAACAAGATGAAGTTGAAGCAGGACGACTTCCCTTGGAACTTGAAGGAGATGAAGTCGAAGACCAAGACAGCCGTGTCTTGAAGAAGATGAGTTCGTGTTGACCCGCCGTGTGTTGACCCGCCCAGTCGTCCAACTTAGCAGTGGTGCCCGAGCCGTGAACGCTGGCACCAGCGCTGGCAACCCGCGGCGCCTGATTCGCTGCTGGTGCCGATCGATGCATTGCATGTGGTGCTGCGGTGCGGTGCCGCTCCGACACGGTCGACACGAAAAGAAGAAGTGCGACACGACTGGATGGTCGACCAGCGATTCAGAGGAATAGCCAAGAGGTGGACATGAGGGGGCATTCGCAAGACGACGCTATGCATGGTGAAGGTTGGTTAAGCAAGAAGAACGATGATGACAATGAAGCGGATGAAGTGGAGTCAGTGGATACAGGCTCTAGACAAGCTCTCTCGAGTATGCTGAATGAATTTGGTTGGTTTGGCAAGGATTGGAAACTCTTTCAGCATGTAGCAGATTAATTTGGCCAGTCCATGATTGGGTCATACCAACCATTGCCAAACCCCGCTTTTGTTGTATATGGAAATGGTTTTGACAGGGTATTTAGTGCATATGTAAACAACGGACCATTTTAACAAAATATATGTTTGTGAAACGTTCTGTCTTCCTCTCCGCAGGTCTCTGCACTCTATCTAGTACACACCTGACAATGTTGGAGAGAGCACAATTGCAATAGGACTCCTCACCTATCCTAAGCAGCGTGCATGTCTTCCGCACGTACTGTGACTGTTGATCGGCAGAATCATGCAGGTGATATCTCCAGCCTGAGACATTCAACTCCCATCAGATGCCGGATTGCAGTCTTGATCATGGTGTTTAAATGAATAATCAGGTCATGATTCATGATATTAGATATTAGATGTTCCATGTGCATCCTCAGGAAGAAGGAGGAAATCGAGAAGAGGTTCGAGACCGACTTCGGAAAGTTGCTGCGTGCCAATACAAGGCAGGACGACTCGGGCATCTAAACGATTGTTTGATTTGTTACTTTTCAAATCAGAGGTCAAAAGAGTTCTAGGCAACCTGTGGGTTCATACCTTGGATACGGTCTTTTATTCCGGGCTCCAACTACCTCCTGAGAAGATGGTTGGGGTGGGTTCGGGGGGTCTAACCACCTTCTGAAGATATGGTTGGAGCCCTAGGGTATGTTCAACGCAGATGTCAAATTGGTTCGATTCTAGGTGGGTGTCGCGCTTTGATGCAGATTTGTCATTTATAGTGTTTTTATGTGTTTTTCTTGAACAGTTTCCAGAAAGGACATTTCGATATGTTTGTGTTTATATGGAAAGGTCTACGCCAACACGTTGGTGTTTTAGCCAAATCCTAACTGATTCTATCCTACCTTTTGTGGAGATTGCAAACCCACTACTGCAGTGTTTCTAGGTGCAAATCCATTCCTGATCATGGATTTAGTTGAAGACCAAAGCTACGGGAGGCCGCCGATGTAACAAAGACATATAGTCGACCACATGTTCTTGCATGTTAAATCGTGTCTTGGAGACCATTCAGGGTTCAACTATATGACGATGTAGATTTAGTACTATATACAAAGTTTTTTTTGCAATAGAATTCTGGATCCAAGGGTTCGGGTATTACCTCTTCAAACTCTATTCGAGCTACTGGATCCGTTGCAGCCCGGCAGGTACCAGTCGGATGTGAGCACTCCAGATGGATCAGAAGGGCAGCTCGGCTGACTCCGAGCGGGCTCAGCGCCACACGCCCAGCCGCGCCGCCCATGAGTTCAAGGCTGGAGCGCAAGGCTGGGCATTTCTCACCGAGAATGAACGGAATAGACCACCCTATGGATCCCAAGAATGAACGGAATAGACCACCCTATGGATCCACATAGCTTCTCAGAAGGTATGTGGATCCACAGGGCTACAGTGGGGGAGATCAACCTACCACGGGGTTTTCTGGGGCATCGTTCTGGCGCAGCCGATTTCGGGCGCGGTCGTATCGACGCACAAAACGACCACGGATGTTGGCAAGGTTTCGGGGTGACCCTGTGCCATGACCCACAGCCAATATGTGACCCACGCACAAAAGGGAAGCAAACCATGCAGGTCCCGGACACTCCATAGGATCTGCCATCTTTGCCGAGAAACGGCCAGGGGTGGGGTCAATTGGGGCGGCAGTCCAGTCCCAGGTCCTGGCGCTCGTGTTTGGGGACCATTCCCAGTGACCGAACCGGTCCCCAACGCAGGGGATCGGTCCCCATGCAGCTGAAGGGGCTGGGGGTTACTATATATTTCACGTTGGTTTTGGACCAAGAAGGGACATAAACCATGCATGGGGGATACAGTATACGTAGGGTTTCATGTAACTTCACTTCTAATTGTGTTTGTGCCTGGAGTCTCAAAGTACTTCAGAAAATGGGTACAACCTGTTTTTATAGGGTCATGTCCCATTTTCTATTATAAATTTGGAGGGTCCAGGTGGAAAGAATCAAACCATGCATGATGTGTTGTTCACGGTATTCCACTTCCAGGGTTGTTGTAGGCGGGGTAAGTGTACTTGTTGTATACAGATGTATACATACCGAAGTCCAAGGTCCTCGGCATTGAATGAAAACGCAGGAAGAGTCACGTTCAGCTTTGGCGACACTCCTTTGGGACCCCGTTGTTCAAGTGTTGGAGGTTGTTTTTGGAGAATGTCCCAAAGAAAAGAATTGGACAGCTTCTGAAACTGCCGAAAAGAGACCATGTCCAAGATTTCCGAGGGAGGAAAACACAATGTGTTCAGATTTGAAAGCAATTCAGGATTCACTGCCCATGTCCATTTTCCACCTTCAGATCATGTGAGAGCCGAGCGGACTGTCTCGATGCGGCTGTTTCTTTTTTTTAGAACGGAAGGAAGTTTCCGCAAGTGCCAGTTCCTAGAAGCCATTGTCATGACCGAACAAATGACCTAAGTGGCAAAGAAAATGTGACCTGAAATGAACCACCCCAATGATATGGGTCAATATACCAATTAAATTCCCATAGGTGGTCCACGGATTTCTTCCCTGTAAAACGAAAAAAGATGTTCTGCTCCTAAGGAGCAAAGAAAAGCTGACCTGCTTCGAGAAGCTCCGAGAGTGGTTGCAGTCGAATTCCTATGCGCCTTGGCTGGGCCTGCGCTTGTGTCACCTGACGTGCGCACGCGCTCTAATCGCGAGAGTCATGCCATGGTCATGACTTGTGCTTAGAGTCTTTAAGAGCATCTTGATTCCTACTCATAGTGTGTGTACTGCCCTGACTGACAAGGTTATCAATCACTGAGTCAGCAAGATTGGCAACACTGTCCAATCACTATAGTGGGTTTTCGCTCCTCGTTTTCCGGCCCAGGAATTCTTCATGGCTTTGGTGCCTCTTGTCAGCAGAGGGAGGGGCCCATTCAGACTTGGACGCAAAGATGCTGTTGATCATCCTTGATCCACTTCATCAAAATCACATGAGACCGCATCAAAGAGTCCCAAAGTCTAACAAGAGCAAAGAATTCCTGCCGAAGTCTAACATCCAAGACTTCCTTGGGTCCCTCCTTATAGCAAGAGCGATCTCCACGCTGATCGTCCCATTCACAGTGACCCTTCTGAGGGCTCCAGTCGTAGCTCCTCAGTTGGACCCTCGAAACCTCAAAGCGTCCCACCTTCGTCAAGAAGGTTCCCCCTGGAGCCCCAGGATGAATGACCCCGGTTGGCATTATCATCCAAACATGTCTTGTCTCTTTTCGACAGGTTTTGAAACCTCGGTCCACTTGATGTGTCATTCGCAGACACGACCTGTCTGGGACTGTCATAATATTGGGTCGTGTGTTTCATTGTGTTCTTGCCCGGTTCTACCGCGGCACGAGCCCGCCATGTGGATATAGACCTCCTCTCCGTCCACGGTCCACCTATGTCCAACACACGAAGATCGACCTCACGACCGACGTGCAGCTCAGGCTGTGCGTGAACGTGTTCTTCATGGCCTTAGAGGCCCAGGTCGCCGGGCTGGAAACCGGCTTCATCATGAGCTTCTTGGAGTGAGACATATGTGAGGCTGATGGTGAGAACGTGAGACCGCTGCACGGTTGGGCGCGCGTTTTTGAGAGGGCCTGAACACAAAAAACACCTCCCCAGTGTTGGTTTGGTAGAGTTCTTGAAGTTCAGGTGTGAAACATGTGCTGTTTCAAACCAAGTTGGAGCTATCAAAAAACATCTTAATATGCCGCATATGCCAAACAAAAAACCTGAGACAGGCCAATACCCAGACGCTCCATGGGACTGACATATTTAGATCGATACATTGGCCAATTGGGGCGGTTTTGGGGGGTCAATGTAGGCAAACATGCCAGTTCCGTGGACCCTACACCTCCAGTCGTACCTCCTCAGAAAGTATGACTGGACCCTCCTGGCACCCACCCCAGTTCCACCTTCTCAGGTTCGGTACGACTGGAGGCCGACTGGGGGAGTGTTTGGGATATGGACCTGTCATCTGAAGTCGCGAAAAACTCGTTCCGGAGCGCTTTTCTCAGGCCACCGCTTGAGTCCTCGGCGCCGGTCGAAGCCGCACCGAAGCAGGACGCTGGTATACACCGGGTCGAGGTGCGAGTCCAGCGCCGGTCGTCCGTGGAATGAAAACGGTTGGAGCCTTTGTGCCGGGAGGATGATCCCAACGGACATCCAACGGCCTGGACCTTCAGTTCGTCATTGGAGTCTTGATGATCCGTGACCGAAAATAGGGGCCGCACGTGACCGCAAATCTTGGGAGATCAAGTTAGGTCAGGAACGGCTCAGGTCCTGGAGCTAGAGTTCCATGGAGTTTGCCTGCAGTTCCATAGAGTTGGGTGCTATCCATGGAGCTAGTCGCGGTGCCCAGGAATTCGGCTGGATGGCAGAAAAAGAGAACGCCCACGCCACTCAACTTCATGTGACTCCGGGTGGTTCACCTGATTTTCCAGTGATCTCAACGGCTCGGGAGTCAAGAAAACCATGTCCCTTGAGGCTACCATTCCTACTATGTCAGCTTAGCAGACTGGGAGCTTTGCTCCTCCGACCGGTGGAGAAGGGGAGCGGCGCGTGGTCGGCCTGGTGGGGACAGAAGCTGTGGGAAGGACAGGGAGAGCTGTGGAAAACAGTTTGGGAGACTGGTGTTGTTGTTCCGGCACAGCTGGGAAACAGCTAGTAACATGCGTCCGGACCAGTTCAATGTGTCCGGCAGAGTTTGGGACAGGTGTTCACTGGTACATCATATCCAGCAAGAGAGATGCATTCTATGCAATTTGTTTGCAAGATTGAGGTCCATCCAGCCGCTTTCAGTCGGTTTAGAGTTAAGTCGGGCTCCAGTCGTACCTTCGTTTCGGTTCGGTGGGACGACTGGGGCCGGGAGGATCCTGTCAGACGGAACCGGTTTGGAGGTAACCTCCTGGAGCCCTGGGGTGTTTGTGAGCTTCATGAGGAAATAGCAATCCTAAATGAATGATGAAGGATCCCCACAAACAAGCCATTCATTTTGATATTCAAAAGATCACCATAAGTAAAATGAATGGCCCAACCTTCCAACACGTCCCAGTTGTGTTTGACAAGTCGTCAGGCGCAACAGGTCAGGGGCACTTCCGCCTCCCAGTCAGGTGTGGAGGGTAGTCAGTCCTAAACCATCCCGCTAGGCTGCCGTGTTGATCTGGAACCAAAGTTTTCTGGTTTTTCAGCATGGATGAGGGTATGCGACCGGTGGCTTTCGGTGCAAGTCTTTAACGACCCGGCAGCGCGCACCGCGCGCACGCTAACCACCGCTGTCCGAAGGAGTCCGAGGCGGAGCCAAAAGAAACATGTGTGATTGAACAAGTGTTTTGTACCAGGACCTTTAAGGGGTGCCCAATGGAAGCCTATAGGTAGTGTGGGGTAGTCCATTGGACACCCCTTGGAGGGTCCTGGTAGATCTACCAGCTATTTTTGTCCTATTACACATCTATTCTTTATTGTGCTACCCTAAGGATCCGCACCCTCAAAAACAAGGGTTTGGTTCGGGGCCCTAAACCCTTAGTCCAAGGATCCTTAGGGTAAGATCATTGCAACATTGGGATTCGGAGGTGCTCCAGGCAGCTTCGGCGAACTGAGCTCAAATATGTTGGAGAATTGGTCCTATATCAGTCCTGAAATCTCTCTTTAGAGCTGGACAGTGAGCTGGACACATGCCCGGCAAATGTGGTTGGTGCACCACTGCAGACCAACTTACTCCAAAAGTAGAGAGCTCCGCTACCCAGCATCGATGGACTCTTCAGAAGCACAGCGACAGACCTCAAAACGTTCCCACTCATCTCGAAACCTTAGCTCAGCTTCCACCCGCTCAGCTACGCGGGCTGTGCTGGGTGCCATGTGGGGAGTCCAATCCCTTCCATCGCAGCCATGGAAAGCAGCCGTCGCTGCCCCAATCCGCCCTGCCTTCGGCTCCCGACCTTCGCCGACCCGCTCTCCCGAGGTTTTTTGATCGCGGACGTGTTTTTTACGGCGCTCTTCGCCATTGACGTTCTGATCCGCATTTGTGTGTTGAGGCCAGGGGGAGTTTGTAATTAACATGTACATATACGTTTGTGGTCAGGTCTAAAGAGTTGAGTGAAAGGAATGCGTCAGGTATTGATAGGTAATTAAATGGTGTCAAAGAACACCACAACATATAGTTCTTTTTATGGGGTCATGTCTCATCTTCTTGGGTACTTTGTGATCCATGGAAATCAGAATGCCATTAATTACCCAGAAGTTTCAAGACGTGTCCAAACCTCAGTGCCCCGCAGATAACTTTTTTGCTGGCCTGAAGGTAGAGGGTTTGCAGCGTAATTATAAAGGATTTGAAAGATCAACGTTTGGATCCAATTGAGGTACTAGGATAGCCAGTAGATCCATTTGATTGCATAGATCTAGGGGGCACCTGGGCTTCTCAACCAGGTTTCACTGGCTTTGGAGCTCTGTGGTGTCCAGTTCCCGCCCGAAGATCGCAAAATTGGAGGGTACACCTGTTGGACGAATTCTGGTCGATAAGATAGAGTTTTCTGGAGGTATGTAAGACGCGACGTCAGCGTCAATTTGTTTCAGCGCGTTTCTTTTCCAGCTCCAATCCCAGTCCTGAGTCATTCGCCAGATGGGGTGTGTATTGAAACATACTTTCAACATCTTTCAAGGACTGTCTGAAAATTGCGACAGAAACACATACCAGCACCCTCCAACAGGTGCTTCCTGGTGACAACAGGTGCCCAGAAACCACCTGTTAGGGTCTCCAAACAGCCTGTTGGAGGGTCCTGGTATAGGCTATTGCTTGGGGAGTCTCCCCCAAAATTGACCCATGTGTTTTTGGTACTTCTTAAGCCACAGGCTGTCCCAGAGGCCTGTACCCATCATAAACCAAAACACCTCAACGAACACAAGCCAGATGTCCAGACTTTACCATTAAAAAGAACGACGTGGACACGAGCTTCTTGGGATCACAGTCGATGATGCCAAAGATTCCATGGAAACATAAAAAAGGGAGCTAGTCGATGATGCCAAAGATTCCATGGAAACATTAAAAAGGGAGCTGAACTTGATAATCCCATATAATCCCTAGTCCCTAGTGCCTTTTTAGATGGGGTTTGGGGAGGGTTTCGAGGGTCCAAATACCTTCAGAGGAGGTACGACTGCGGCCCTATTGGGGATTTCATATGCCAGTCTTAGATAGCGGTCGTGTGGATGGGGGTCTTTGCATCGATGGAACCCCTTTCAACCACTCTGTTGGTCTTCGGAAAATGGTCGAAAGCAGGGGGTCCATTCTCAGGGTCTGCGGAGGGGTAAGTGGTCATGTGTCGAGAAGATCATCAAACCTACAACACCGAACCTACAAACCCTCCCCATCTTCCATCCCCCGCAGAGAACGATCAGACCAAATGCTCCTGCTCGACCGCATCGAGGCCTCACTTCTAATCACCTCACAATTCACTCCGCAAGCCGGCGTTTCACCCGCCCGATCGGACGTGCCGACGCGACTCTCTCGCCTAAACCCAGGGGCTTGTTCTTCATGCTTTGGATGAACTACATCGACGTGGCCGTCAGTATTACCTCCGTCTTCGAGATGATGGCGCCTCGGCCGCGCGGGGTTACTCGGTCGCCCTCTGGCACGCGTTCCACTCGCCACTCGCCACGTTTTTCGATCGCCTGGTCGGCCGGTGTCCTCAAGGGCCGGTCGGTTTGGGTGCCAAGGTGGTCGGTTTGGCCCGGCAACAGAGCTGTGGAAGCTGGTGGTGTTTGGTTACGTTGAATGATGGTGAATGTATAGATGTCCCGGACGAAGATCCACCTCGCAGTGAAGAGTGAGACCCCAGACACAGACACTGGGACTGCAAAACAAATTCAATCATTGCAAAAACATATGCACCTTCAAAACCACCCAAAAATCTAGTCTTATGACTCCAAACGGCCTGACGGGCCAAGTACGTGAATAGGACCATATAGGGCTCCAATCGTACCTCCTCGATGACACTGCGGCACCCTCCCCAAGTCCCACGGAATCGAATCGAAGGTATGACTGGAGTCCAAACTGGAGGCCACTGGGAGGTTTATATAGGCTATTTGGTGCAAGCATCCATATATGTCAAGGATTTGTAGCTTCCTTCACACTCTCTAAACCCTTTCTCCACATCATGTGTTGTTTTTCGATTTCCGTTCCTACGCCTCCAGCAACAGGGGTGTGTGTAGACGCCGTACAGCGCGCTGACAGGAGAATCTCCAATTTCCCGTAGAAGTCAAAAGATTATTAATTGTCACCCATTGAACAGAAGTTATAGAACATTAGATTATGACTGATTATTAGTCATAGAACACTGACTCAGACAGAATTGTTGCCTGTCCAGTCATCAAAGCTTGTGTACAATCATCGACTGCCGGCAGCTGATCGTGTTGGAAGTCTCATTCCACATCGGATCACATCAGATCAACGGTCGACCATTCTCTTGATCGACTGAACTCGACTATTCTCTCCCCCTTCGTTCAGGTCACCAACGTCATGACGTTGCCCTTGAACCCGGTGCTCTTCCGACTGCTGCGGATCGGAAAGCTCTTCCGCGCCATCCGGATGGTGCACATGACCAATATGCAGCCAGTCTGCATGAGTCCGCGAGTCCGTGGATGGGGATGGTTGTGGGATGAGCTAAGGGGGGATTGGGTTTGTTTACTTGAGTTCAGGTGTAGCATGGTGTAGCAAGTATGACATGTGCAAGAATGCTTCAAGTACTCAGTTCGGGTCCAGGTACCTCCGTACTTCGGATGGTCTTGAAGGTAAGTGCGTACTTCCAGAGAATGGTCTTGGGGGGTCAAAGGACATCCGAATCGGATGGTCCTGGACCTTCAGGGGTCAGGAAAAACATCATTATTCGTGGCGTCCTGAGAGTTTCGTGGCGGATCCCGAACCCATGGAACTCATCGGGTGTTCATTTCTTCAGTTCCCCTGGGCAGGGCGGAGCTCTTGTGGTTCATCCGTGTGGAGACTCTGTGGGGTTCCCCGTTTCGCCTGGTCCATTCGTTCGACGTTGCGAGAGCTAAACAGGGGGAGCATATGACATGCGGCAGCGTCGCTCCCTGAAGCTTGCTCGGATCGAACTGGGGTGGTGAAGGGAAGTTGGATATACTATATACCTTAAGGATCCTCATCCTCAAAAACAATGGGTTTGGTTCAGGGCTCCAAACCCTTGTGAACTAGAGGGTTCGACCCCTGTCCGTGTGGAGGGGTCCGTTTGGGCTCCTGGTAGCTGAGATGTGACCCACCAGGTCTGTCCAGTGTGGCCGGCAGATCCCCGCTTTGTCTGGATTGTTGTCGTACCGAACCTCAGCAGGTGATTGGACCCTCCTGGCACCTACCATAGCGGTGTCTCTAGTCACCTGTTGAGAAGGTACGACTGGATCCCTAGGGTGTGGCGCAAGCAAGGCGCTTCTGCATCGGAGGAGCGCGTCGCGGTCTCGGTCGCACGCGTGCGCGCGCCGACGCGTCCAGGCTGGCATCCTTGCATCTCTTGGTGCTGCTCGGAGCGAAGCGATTCGCGTCGTGGTGTTTTTACCTGGGATGTGAGGTGGGTTGGGTCCCACAAATCGTGATTTCTTTTGGCACTGGTTGTGATGATGTGTTCTGCCTGATATTGATATAATCCTTTCCTTGGTCTTCCTCGGCTCCAGAATCGGCAGCCCCGGTCCTACTTTCCCAAAACAGCATATCAAAGGCCTCCCAGGTACCGCTGATATAACTATTCAAAACTGAGTGCTTAGGAGACCATCCAAATTCTTCTTCTCCATAATTCTTCTCCATAACAATTGAGGTGAGAACCCGGGACCGTGAAGTGAGCGTGATGTACCAGTGAACACGCACCTCAAAAACCACATAAGCCCCCCAAATACCAGTAAAGGCCGTGAGGTAACCGTGATGTAACCGTTAAATCCCTCAACCATGAAAGCTGTGTGGGTCACGCGAAAACTGTGAGGGGAATGTGTTCTTTCCATCTTCATTGTGAGGCAGTGACTAGTATATGTTATGAATATACCCCTCATAAGTGGTATTTGGTGGCCTAGGGCTGCACAAGACCGGCCCCTGAAGAAAGGCCGTGGTTTCCACAGCCCTTTGGACGATAAAGGTTTCATCCTTCCGTTTGAAGCCTCGGTCCGGCACCGAGGTTCCCAGAAATGGCTGGAGTGCACTCCAGAGACCATCCGACCATCCAGAGACCTTAGACCTCAGCACGGACTGACCCTGCTTTCGACCGTTCCTCAATTCTCATCAATTCTCTTCGTTTGATCATGCATCCCGGCTTCTTCCAGTCGGCATCGGACCTCGTTTGACTGGACGTGGTCATGGAAAACACATCCAAACACGACTTAGGGAAGTCAGTTTCACCAGGAGACTAGATCTGGGACGTACGGTTTGGCTTCAACTCCACCGGCATACCTGGATACCCTTGGCGTTGAGCGTTTTTTGGCCCAGGAAATGTCTCATCGCCAGTTGCCACTGGTCCGCATCGCTCGGGTCGGCGCGGGGAACCAGCTGGGCGGTGAGCCGCCCAGCCATGCACCAGACACGATGTTAAACAAACGGGACTGGCAGATGTTAAACAAAAGGACTCCGTTTCAACCGCCCCCCAATGGATGTAAATATGTCAGTCCCATGGAGTGTTTGGGTGTAGCTATATACTCGGTAACAGTTGAGTCGGTTGAGTGCTTCTATAGTCACTGTAGTCACTTTTGTCATTGGTTAGAAGTGTTGGCGATCAACTTTCTTTCTCAATGCCTATAGGATTCTTTGGAGCTGTGCTTGCAGAGTCTAGTTTGGACGTTCTTTCCCAGTGAGTCCTGGGAATACAAGGAACTGGGGTTCTATTTACGCGACCGGCACGGTTCATATTATTTGGGAAACTGGACTTGCTGGGTTTGTTTGGCACTTTCGAAGATTTGCCAATCACCCGCTTGGTCCTTTGGGGCTCCTGGCCTACCTCCGTTTCGAAGGTGGGACTGGGGTGGATTAGGAGGGTCTAGTCCTATCTTCTGAGGAGGTGGGCCAGGAGCCCCAGGGATCAAGTTCGTTCGTCCAAACATGGGATGTTCGTGGGCCCAACCATGACCGAAAGTGGCAAGTCCAACCAACAACACTGTGACCGGTGTGGTTTCCTCCAATAGGAAACGGAGCGATGCTGAGAGCCCAGGAAATGTCTGGGAGATGTGACTTGCTCAAGAATGACGTCAAGAATTGTTAGCAGTGTACTAAGACATACTGTAAGAATACCATTGAACCTGGTTGACAAGACATGTGTGACTTCCGTCAGCTTTGTTTGGCTTTCCGGGGGCTCGGACCCACGTTTCGGAAGCATTTTCCTCATAGACTCCATGGGGGGGAGCCGTATATGCCGATCAGTTGGGGTGGTTTGGGGGGTCAAGGTAGGCATATATGTTATATGGCAGTCCCATGGAGTCTATGGGTGATGAAGCATGAACATGTTCTTGGGACCCAACATACTGGGCCTCCTCTTTGATGGGAGTTCTGGAGCATCGTTGGGGCACAGATTGAGGCACATGATATAGGACTTGCTGCCAAATGTATGTGTTTTGTTTGCCAGATCGCCACTGTTTTTCGTTTCCCATTGAGTCGGTGCTGTCAGTGGGACCGCCTAATGGCCTAATTGGCCTGATGCTGAACCTGGTTGACCTATAAGATCATGACGACCTGAGGCAATAATGTAACTGACCTGGTTCTTACATGTTCTTACAATTTCTTGACTATCCAATTGAGGTAAAACATGTTAACACAGATGGTAACACCTACTCTGGTTTGAGTAAACCTGGCTCTTTTTTCCGAGGCAACATGCTCTTCTGGAGCTTTTGCTTGTTGACCTTCCTGCAATGCGTGGCCGGCTTGATCATCGGCACCTTGTGTCGGGGATATCTCAGCGATCCCACCATCGAGCCATCGAAGCGAGAAGAAGTCTATATGTGACCTGGCGACAGGACAGGACACCACTGCAGTCCACCCCAAGAAAACCAGTCACAACAAACATGGACTGGGAGGGTACTCCAGTTGGTCCACCTCTGCTGTACCCTCCCTCCAAACATGATGGTTGCGTGGACATGGTGACGTGGACCATGGCCCCGAAAAGGACGACGGCGGAATGTCCACCACGCCCTGGATCCGGAAAAAGGACAACCAGTACCCAGACATGACTCGACCGCCATCTGGGACTGCCATCTGAATCCATATATTGGGGTGGTTGAAAAGGTGGTCAATGGGGCGGCAGTCCTATGCCAGTCCCATGGAGTGTTTGGGGTACTGACTAAACTGCTTTGTACACTACAGTATCTAGACACGACCCTGTGTATAGAGTGAACTGCTTTGGAAACCAGTTCCTGGTACTAGAGTCAGGGCGCTGAAGCTTTCAAGGGTCGGAGTTCATGTGAGGTGTTACGACGGCCTCACGTTCCGGTCAATGGAACATCCGGATCGTGCGCGCCACGAACCGAAGGACAACGATCCATGGAAGCGGCAAACAAAAGGCCCAAACAAAGACGCTCCGTGAAAACAGCCCTTGGTCCCTCAAAACCGGGATTGGTTCGGGTCCGGACCCCTCCATATGAGGGCCCTTGAGCGTCTGGGAAAAACAAAGACCTGCGCCACGAGTTCGGGGGGATGACCAGCTCCACTTCCGAAGATGAGTCAGCGGAAGAGTTGGGAGGAGGAGCTGGGAGGGGCTTTTGATCATTTGGATTCACAGACATCACTAAGTTAGGCATGTTCAGATGAGGAGTTGTGGTTGGAACAATTGAGAACGGACAGTGAATACACTAGTCAGATCGTTTTGGGTTGAGGGGTGTGTGGGGGTTCGAGCTGGCAGATTGTGAGGACGAGACATGTCACGGAAGTGATGTGAGCTTGATTCACGGGCAGTCGTCACTGAACTCCAAATTTACTGTGAGATAATTTAAGTATATATTATAATAGTACATATAGGCACTCTTGAACATACGAGTACAGCTTTATAGGTGAAATGGAATGGAAACAAGTGTTTTAGAGGAACCGCTTGAAGCAAACCAACGTGGGTCATTTGTAGAGGCAGTATTGCAGTATAGATTGACATTTTGTGAGAATGAGTATGAATGACCACCACTTGGTGTAGACTCATATATAGACGCGTTTTCTTCCTATGCTCGCCAATGCTTGACCCGTTGAACAACTCGGAGCAGTTGGTTTGAAAGAGAACTGAGGAAGCGAGGGTGGAACTCTTGTTGCTGTTTGTTGTACTTCTATGACATGACCCGGCTGAAGACTAAGACATCAACAGACCTTATATTATTAGTGAAATATGCATGAATGTATAATATGCAGAATGCCACCTGCCCCACAGCTGTTGCCAAAAAGATGGGCAATGACAGGTTTCACTTCTTCTATGGTGTTGATTTATTTTCACCTTTTTCGGAACACAAGGCTTCCACCTATCGTCACTACCACTGATGACTTTCTAGCCAGAGGTTTCCTAATCATGGTGGGACAAGCAATAGAATAGAATTCACGGAATCCTGTTACATCCTATTATGTTTTTTTTCTATCTGAATCAGGCATCCCATTAATAGCGGTCGAATCTAGCGGTCGAAGCTCTGAATCAAGGGCTTCTTTCGAAGCCGGGGCCTGCGCTGCCTGCGCCACGGAATGATCAGGTACTATGGGACATTTACTCGGACCATCCTGACGATGTTTGAAGCTTGGCACAGCTTGGTGCGGCACCCGATCTATGCAGCTGTGGAAAACGCTTGAACACGGGGGCAACAGGTGAAGGGAGCTGTCTTGGGTGTCCTCTTGAGAAGGCCCAAAGGTGTTTGTGGGGCAGAGATCAATTTTAACAACTTGCCAAGGGAAAGCTATAAGGTGATCAGTGATAAGTGCTAGAATGCTAGAAGGGTGATAAGAGTTTCTGCACTGTTACTTGTATTTTGTAGCACTTGTTGGGTGTGAGTGGAAGCTGCAATCAATCAAACTCGAAAAGAGTTAGTCAACCACTTGGCCAGAAGGGTTTCCATTCCAAGTCATCATTGCTGAAAAGCGTCTTGACAGTCAGCCTCAGCAGTGGAGTCCTCATCAGGTCGTACTGTATACTTTGGGTTTGTCCTATAGCCTTTAACAGTTGGTAAACAAGTAGGCCTGCATCCTATAGACCATCATCCTCCACTGTTGCTGGTAATGGGATAGATGATAGACCATGATAGATCCAATTTATAATGCTCTCCTATACACACGTACGCTGTTTCACAGCGTCAGCTTAAGTGGGGTGCTCGGATACCGGGTACTGGGCCCCGGGCCCCACAGTCAGGTGCTCCCGCCGGCTCCCGCTGTGAGTCCGCTGGAGCCCGTTTCACCGGTCGGTTCACCAGCGGCGTTGAAACCCATGTCAGGCCGTCGATGTTCACCCCGGCAGGCACACGTGGAGTACGTGAGACGTGAGACGGAAACAAGGGTGTCGTCGCAAGGGTGTTGACCAACTTCCTGATCAAAGGTCTATTCCGTACCCCGCCTTTAATTCAGGACCTTAGGCGCATAACTCGACCCCTTCGTTCGGCCTTGGTGGCTCGTCTTGGATGGGGTGAGTATGTTGCTCAATGAATCAGCTCTTCTCCGTCAGATGGCGGCTATCAGAGCTCGGGACGCGGCTCTCAGAGAGACCGCTCGTCAACATACCTCCTCTCATCGCTCTGGGACGGAGGCGGGGGGGGGGCGTCCTCCCCTGAGGACCGCTGAAAGCGCAGCTGCGGGCTGCGCGGTGGCGGCTGTTGCAATGTGTGACCATGCAGCCAATGCTTCTGCTGCGCCCAAGGATGCTGTTCGTGATGCTTCTGCTGGAAGCGCGCGCTGTTCGCGATGCTTGGGCTGAGTGGAGTCTCAGACATGGTCTTAAGGAGAACGCTGATAAAACTGCTATCTTTCATGCCACTGCAGCTGGGCAGCGCTCTCTCCGGGCTGTCGGAGTTGAGCCTGCTATGAGCCCTAAGATTCTTGGTGTTGAGCCTGCTATGAGCCCTAAGATTCTCCGTACGGGTTGCCGTGTGTGATCCACAAGCTAATGACTTACTTTGGATGGACTCCCCTTGGGAGTGGGACCGTCCATCGGTTGGTTGGGTGGAGTTGCACCACGTGTCGGATGATCGGCAAGCTTTCGATAGAGCTCAGCACCAGCTCGGGGAGTTTTGTTTTCTCCGGGCGACGTGATGCTGTATGCTGCAGACAATCTCGTATGACGAGTCTCGGTGCGCTAAGGCTCGAAGGTTACACGGTGGGGGAACCGTCAGCTCGGCCGCTTTCGCCGTAATGCGGCAGGAGGAGGTTCCTACCACCTGCCCGTGGTGTCAAGCTGGCTGTCTTTAACCACGTGGCGTGGGAGTATCGTGCTTTGCAGCACTTGAGGATTCAGCGCAGGGTGCCAGAGATTAGGGTTCTTTGCCCGCTTTAGCGCAGGCTGGGTTGGCCTGTGCTTGCAGGCCATGACGAGGATGTGCTTCAGTGGCTTAAGTTGTGACCGTGCGTCAACGATCTCTGGATCAGCGTTTTTCTCGTTGAGTGACCCGATCTGCTCGGGAAGGGTAGCGCCAAGGCGCAGGACGTGGTAATTCACAATATACGCGAGTCGTTTCGCCACCACCATTGGCAGGAGGTTGCATCAACGGTCCGGACGACTGGATGCTTTCCCCGAGGTTCCTTATCACGCTGACAAGTGTGCTTGGGCTCGGCAGCGTGCTATGTTGCGCAAGCCGTACTTCCAAATTGTCTTTGGTGCTTCCGTCAGTCCAGCAAAGGTGGATCGGATGCATTCCAGCAGTGTCCGTTCTGCTTAAAAGACTTCGGTTTTCTCCACCATGTTACTTACTTGGCAGTGTGAGGGGCTGGGAATCCAGCGACCCGAGCCAACGCCTAGGTGTCCGATGCAACTTCGGCTGGGTTGGCCTGATCGCCTGGAGTCGTTCGATGAGTCCATCCTGAATTGGCATACCAAGGTACGTCAACTCGTGCTGCAAAAACGGTACAGCTGACGCGTGCTTCGTGTGATCTTGTTCGCATGGGCAACTTTTTAGAGGGACTTTGCGTGTCCGACGCAAAGAAGTCTCGTTTCTCGACACGGGGATGTTTTTCCGTGGGCTTGCCGAGTTTGAGCACGTTGAGTGTGTTTCTTCCTCTTCCCGTGCTCCCCTTGATCCACCCCGCCAAGGAGATCTTATTCGCGAATTGGGGCCCACCCTGCCACGTGTTGATCGAGAACGTCAACGAATGGCCGCTGGGCACGGCTCATATTGCGTTTGATTCGCGCGGTCTCTCTTGATAGTACAGTGTCATACGAGCATGGCTTTTCCCAAAATCATTTTGATGAAATTTTGACTATAGTTACAAGACTGCTGACTTTATCATGGCATATAGTAGTATTCAAAAGACGACAAGGCATGCGATTGATTGTACAACACTTTTTACAACTGGTCAGCACATCTTCCAGGCTCATGGACTGCTCTTGGCACCCGAGCACCCGCATTTTCTGCCCCTCACAAACCATGTTGCAGCGCATGGTGAACTCTTGATGTGCAATCAATGTGCTTCACGAGATGTGGTACCTTTTGTGGTGAATCCATCGGCTAGGCCTGCAAATACCTCTTGAAATGGTGTTTGGTATGTGGCCCTATGGATCCACATACCTTCTAAGATGTTGCACTACAAAACGAGGTCGACCATTCTTTAAACGGTCCAACGGAAGGGGGAACGTATAAAAAAAATATATGTCAGCAGTCAGGATATTGACCCGAACATCCACAACGGCCGATCGCGAGGTTCGCGATTTTCTTCCTTTTCTACCGATGCGTTCTAGGCGGGCCTTTGGTCGGCGGACGCGGGCAACAAAGCACTTGGTGCACAACCACCTTGATGTTGTGGAAACATTGATGTAGGCGGTTGAATCATAAAGCCTCCGGTAAATGGAGATCTGAAACATGTTCAAACCATTCCGGTCGGGGTGTTCAATAAATCAAAAGGTCTACATGATTGTTGGACCGAGGATCTGTTCAGTTTTCTTTTGCGATTCATTTGTGAAACATCATGAAATGTACCACATAGTACTGGGATGGTTGGATGGTAGACACGTGGTCAAGGGGTGCACAAACCACAAGACCACTCAACCTGTGTGGTAGAAACTGTTGCTGTAGATTTGTCTAATCTAATGTACTCAGTCAGAGACCCAAAGCCCACCCAGACGCTCAATACGCACAGCCAAACTGGTTATTCAAAATTCAATGTGTCTATTATCGAAATGGTTTGACCCAAGACCCCTTTCAAAAGACTTAAGAGGGTGCGGGGTCGAGTCTAGGCAGATTTCATCAATTGAATTAATTGTGTTTTCCAAGCGGACTATTTTCTTGAATCCATCCATCCATCCATCCATCCATCCATCCTGATGCAACGTCCAGGATTCGCGGTGCTCAACGTGGTGAACGCGGTGTTTGCCTCTCGACGGGGTCGTCCAGTCAAGGGCCGGGCGAGCGTTGCTTTTGTTACACCTGCAAAGAGGATGGGGAATCATAGTAGTTTTTGGTTCCTAGTAGTAATGCCAGGAGCTACTAGTAGTTTCTTGCTACTAGTAGCGATACCCTTGTTACTAATAGTAGCTTCTTGCTCCGTTCTTTTCTATGGGATACCTTTGTGATGACGCTAGCTATATAGTCATTCCATGTTGACCAGCATGAAGTTGTTTCGGCCCATAGTCATACAACTGCTCGAAATATTTGTTCAATACAGGGTTCATTGGCCAAACAAGTGTCGTCCCACGTTGATTTTCTACTACTACTTTGTCTACAAGTGATTCGTTGTGATTCTACACACATGAATACACCCTCATGTAGCAATCATTGAGTCGCTCCCGGTCAAGTGACGTGTCAGCTAGCTATCCGTGAAATGAGGTTCAGCAGACAATGAAGACTGCTAGCACTGATGAAGAGCTTGCCTTCAAGCAAAAAGAGAAGGACATACCGAAGAACTGAGAGAGGTTGGGTGGGTTAAAGAAATTGTGATTATTTAAGGTGTTATGTTTGGGGGCGGTTGGTTGGGCTGAATGGTCTTTCAATAAGAAGTTGGTTTCGATGGGAATCAAATCATCCAAGTGGGAGGATGTGGTGTATTGATTGGGGTCAGATGGTTGGTGGATGGCGGATCTGTCGACACAAGCACACTGGGTGCTGGTTGGCCTAGGGTGTGAGAGACACGGCGAATCGACTTCTGCAGAAGAAGACCACCCCCCAAAGGGCCTGTCGCGCGCGTGTCGCATCAGCCGGTGTCGCTCCCTCATCGCAGTGCCGCTGGCCCGATTCCCGCAGCACCGGCGGAACATGTACTCGCCCCGAAAACTGGGCTTTGAGGGTCGGTCGAACTGTCTTCCACCTGAGAAAAGCACAAGGAAACCACGACCAGGTCCGGATCCCAGCACCTTGTCCCCGACCCGAATATACGACTGGACCCGAACATGGCACCTACATCCTGTCGAATGCCCTTGCACAGTTTGTGAACACTTTCGATGGTGAGAAAAACTGGTCCTGATGAGATGACCAGGTGTTTTCCTACTTCCGGTGCGGGGAATTGGTTCTTTTTCTAGAGAGTCAGAATCGAAGATTTAAACAAAGGGATCTTTGGGATCATATGCTTTGATCAGGCAAAACTCTAAACACCAACACCCACCAACGCCATCTTCCCTGTGCTTTCGCACAATTCGCGCGAAAAGCGCAGGACATCGCTCTATATACGCGGAAGGTGAAGAGTCTCTTCCAGACCATGGCGCCTCGTTCGCAAAACGGCCAGCACGATTCAAGTAGTTAACTACGGGTCGCTTCGTACTGGTTCAGCATACCCAGGGCAACGTCGAACTGAGAGGTCTCCAGTGAGGTCTCCATGCGTGTGAGGAGCACACCCATTTGAGCTGCACACCAGAACCGCTGAGCAGCGGGTTCTTTGTTTGGGTCCTGTTTTGTGCCATTGAAGGGCGGGCGAAGGTGGACGAGTCTGTATACTCGTCATGTCTTAGACTCATCCGTATACAGTCCCGTTTGAGCTCCAGTCGGACCTTCTTAGAAGGTGGGACTGGGGTGGGATTAGAGGGTCCAAATACCTTCTAAGGAGGTACTTGGAGCGCTAGAGTGTGTATGGAGCACTTCTGCTACAGGTCATTTTGGTCACATCTGGAAGAATCATTGAACACCAGAGGGACACAATAGGGGATGGACATGACCAGCAGATCACCTTTGTCCCAGCAGATCTTCGTGATCCTCACGAAAAGGATCCTCTTTATTTGAACCCATCCCGGTCCAAAAACACCCACCGTTCTTGACCCGCCCTAGGGATCCACATAGCCTCTGTTTGGAGCCTACATAAAAGAGTCTCCAAAGAGTCTTCTTAGAGGGTATAGCAGATCCCTAGGGCCGGGTCAACCTCAAGCCAGAAAACCCACCGATTTGGCCCGCGAGCCGCGACGACCCCCGGCGCGACAACCCCCCGCGCGCGGTCGTCCACGCCGTTCAGGACCAATCCGGTGATGGGTCCATTAACCTGGAGGAGTTCGCCAAGCTCGTCGCCCGGACGACCTCGCCCCGCCCCGCACCGTGTTCGTTCGCACGGCGTTCGGTCCCCACATGGCCGCGGGGGGGGGATGTGGAAAGCAGATGGTCCAGCATGGTCCGTTCTTGCGGGGGTGGGCTCCGCGGTGTTCAAAGCAGGTGACCATGTCGGTAAAGAACAGGCGCGGCAAGCGAGCGAGCGGGTTGAAAGTGCCGGACTGTATCGGACCAAGTTCTGGGAGGTTTGATCTTTGATAGGCTTCGGGCTCCAACACAAAGGAAATATAGAGAATCCAGACAACCAGGGTGTTGGTTGAGGGCCCCGAAACATGGAGCGGAGCCGAAGGCGTTGCTTTCACGCAACGTGACCGTCACGCTGGGTTCAAGGTCTACAGTGTGGAACCCGGACTACCTGGGTTCACCAAAGAACATGAACCTTCATGCCCTAAGAATCCTTGGGCTCTCCATGGCAGGGGTCGGACCCTCAATGGCAGGGGTCTGGGCCCGAACCAAAACCCTATGTGTTTGAGGGCCCGGATTCTTAGGGTGGATTACTAAGGAGGTGTCCTGTTCTTCTGCGAGCTTTTGTGGCCCAAATCATCAAGGTATCAACCTTCCTAGAAAGCACTTGGACCCTCCTGGCACCTACATAACAGTGTCTCCAATGAGCTTCTCAGACAATACGTGGTTCTCTAAAAGATCCAGATCCCCAAACACTCCATGGGACTGGCATATTTACCTGCATATGACCCCTTTTCAACCGCCCCAATGGATTCAGATTCATATGCCAGATCCCATTAGATGCCATGAGTCGTGTCTGGGACATATCAACCCCGTAGTTGTTGTCCGGCGCGACGTGCGCGACGAGAACCTCACACCGGTCTCGGCGCGGCGGGTGCCGAGGTGAAGTCGCCGAAGCTGAAGTTTTGGATGAGCCAACTGGAGTTGGAGTACCACGCCACCAGCAATGACTTAAGCTGTGAATCCAAGTTGATGTGATTTTTTTGCTGCGGGGGATGGATGTACCTAGAAATATGCAATTAGAAAACAATCCTGCAATGATTTCAGCTGTGAATGCAAGTTGATGTGATGTTGATTTCGTTCACTTGGGCGTGAACATTTGATTGGGGCATACTGAGGCTATCCCTCAACAAGTGTTTTGGTGTTTGACCTTTGATGAGTTGTAGGTTTGTCAGATATACTGATTCGATATAGATTTACCTGGATCTTCCAAACTACATACAGAATGTTTAAAGCCTTCTAACTGGTTCTACATGGTTTTACAAAGGCAGAGCTTCTGGATGGCAAAGTTGGAAGATCCATGGCACTTGTTGCAACATGGTCCTTCTTTCCTCCGGGTTCGTCTACGGACGGCTTCTTGTCCAATGCATCCGTAGTCGATGGCCGGGACCCCTGTCGTCCGGTCCTGGAGCGGCCAAGGCTGCCAAGGCTACACCCTGGGAGTCCAAGAGTATGTAAAAATGCATGGATAAACCAGGAGTCACAAAGGGGAGGGGTGCCGAACTTGGAGGAAGTCCAGGGTGCCCCAACGTCACATCTACTCACTGAGACAAAAATACACCCCACTCCATGTGACTCCTGGAGGAATTGTCTTTAGGTGACCTGAGTCTCTACTTCGGTGGGGCCAAGTCTACGTATATAGAATCAAAATATAGATGTATGTGGGGTATGTGGAAGACTGCACTGACTGCACCTTGGCACCTTCTGTCCCAAAAGGACCAAGAAATTGGGCCTCGAAACGAAAACCATATGTGATACTACGTATGAACAAGAAAACCATACATGACAAGTGCTGAAGGGGACACTCTTGGTACATCATGTACTCATGACGACAACTCTTGGACTCTTGGGCAGTGCCAGCACATGACATCAATGGATTCTCTTGGACTCTCTTGGACTCTGGCTGCCCCGTACAGGTCGCTCTAAAACCTGCGAACTGAACCTGGTCGAGCTCTGGGGACTAGAGGAGCGATGCCAGTCACTCACCAGTCATTGACATGGCCCCAAGGTGTATAACTCCAAATGAAACTAATGAATAGCCTAAATTACTAAATATAGGAGGAGCTACTCCATGTAACTTACTCAGTATATAGGAGCTACTCCATGTAACTCCCTAATCCTAAATGTGTGGCCCTAGTGTAGAACCGTTCCAGTCCCATGGATGGTCTGGGGAAGGTTCCAAGAACCGCAGGATCGGCTCTAAATCCGCACGCGGTGTTCGACTGAGGATTTGCTGAGCCTCTTTGAATTCTTGGACAACGGACTCTTGGTATTAAATTTAGGGTCCAAGGAGTTGTTGTTGTTTTCCGATGGATCAGGGTGAGATGAGTGAGATGAGATGCTTCATATTGGATGGTTCATATATTGGATCTCTAGTTGGGTAGTTGCAGGTTGTATCAGGGTGAGATCAGCGAAAACAGGGCCAATACATGCCAATACCATTTTATACAATACATATGTCAAGGAAACCAGGAGAATAGTTTGTTTATCTTTCGTTTGACGTTTGTGGAGTTCCTTAACGGTTTTGGGGGGGCGATCCATTGAATCCATCACTGGTGGCGAATCCATCGGCTGTCGCGAACCCGCATGAGATGCGCGATGGTGGGCGCACCGAGTCGGTGGGGCACCTTCGTCTGTCTCCACATGTCCTGACAAACCCGTTTAAGCTCCTGTCCCACCTCCGTTTCGAAGGTGGGAAGACCGGGGTTCGGGTGCCAGGGGGGTCGAATACCACCGAACCTGAGGATATGGGACAGGAGCCCCATAGGAACAAAGACTCCACACAGCCCACTGGAGGAAGGACCTCTGGATGTGGGAATGGCCATAAATGATCATACATTCCAGCGTGTGTAGATCAGGTAAACAAAGGCCCCTGCAAAGGACTTCCTATAGCACTTGAACTTTCATGAACGTTCCCACCATGTTCAGAACATTAATGACATTACCTGGGATTGCAACCACCAGTGCTTACATCATTACTGTAATGAAATGGTCCTTACCAAACAACATCAAACAACAATGGTTTTGCCAAGGATCTTGGGACTACACAACGAGCTCAACCTTTCTTATAATGGTCCAGCGGAAGGCTTAAGGCTTCTTGATTCACTCCAGTAGCACTTCCAGCCCTTCCCAACATCGGGTTCAGGAGATGGCGAAATTACGTTTCTGAGCCGCAAACGTGACATCAACCGCGCGGACACGACCGGGGAGGTTTTGGGGGTCCTCGGCCTGGGCCTGAGAGCCCTGCGAATCGGTGGCACCGGTGGCCGAAGGGGGTGTCTCTAAGACAAGCTAAGCTGTGGTTCTCATCTCAGACATGTGGGTAATATCCTACACCCATTATGTGGCTCACCTCCAAACCCGGGTGTTGGGGAGTGGGACACACCCCACAAATCCAATGAGCAGGTGGAGTTCGTTCGCAACAAAAGTCGATGTTGGTCCATGGATCGAGCGGCTCCGCTCACAAAGGTGAGAGGTCCAGTGGACCTTCGTTGTAGGCTTTGGAGGGTGAGTTCGTCAGTATCCTGACCAATTTGCTCTCAAGTCCTGACCCATTAGAACCTGGTAAGTTGACCTGGTCCAAGTCCTGTTTTTGTATAACCATCTCCAGTTTTGCCGGTGCAATTCATCGGTGTGTGAAGCCATTTTGTCAAACAAGCCCCGAGCCCCAAAGGAAGGCTTTGGACAGGGGAGACTGCACATGCTTTGACTTTTATGGCTTAAGAGTCCATCAACATATGAATCTCGAACCCTTTTGGTGCTTTGGAGCGGGACCGCGCCCCTCGCGTGCACGGTTGGACGCGGGACGTCGCAGGTTGATGGAGTTCATCGAAGGAGCGGCGCGGCTCAAGGGCTCTGCCAAGGCGCTGGACATCTGGCGCCTGGAGACCAAGGTGGAGGCCCCGGCGAAGCGAACTGGCCGTAGAGCGGTGTGTTGAGCGGTGAACTGGCCGGCGGGTGGCAGGGTCGTCCGGTGTGTTTGTTGTTTTCTGCCCGAACGAAACGATGCTGAATTCCCAACCATATCCAGTATAAGTACGGGTCCAGTCATATTGTTGGACTTAGTTTGTATCCGCGGTCAAGCATCTGGAAGACACCACACCTCTTTGGAAGCCCAAGGAAGGCTCCCAACATCAGCGCCTCATCAGCTGTCATCAGCTTCACATGAACTTCTGCCCCCAACCCCCCCAAAGTATCGCCACCGTGGAGGTGCTTTTTGAGCACGTCCTGCATCGCATGGAGACCGAGAGGCGCTTTTTGAGCGGTCGGTCACCGGTCGGACGCGCGCGGAAGTGACCGAAGCTGGCATGAAGTGGCATGAAGACGAGGGTTCCGAAGACCAACCCAGGATGTGTTCAGGTTCCAGGGCGCGCCTGTCGGGTCTCTTCCAGAGGGTAATCATTGGAAACTCTCAGAGTTTGATAGATGCCAGGCTGATCTGGTTGTGATGGCTGTAAACAGGGGACCTGGTTCAGATGGTCCTTCATGTTCCTGACTGGCGGTGAGTCAAAACCTCCTCCACCAATCTCCACCAAACCATGACAGGTTGATATCCCTAATCAAGGTCACCCTTTTTGACCTCAGTGACGTAGCTGTATAGCCTCGACCTAGTAACCTGTATGTGAGCCTGCAACAAAAGGTCGTTTTGGATGCACCAGGTTCCGGGTACTGAATATTGGCAAGCAACTAGTGTTCAGGCCATGGTTGAAAGTTGCGATACTGGCGTTCGTGTTTCCTGTAGCGTTTCCGAAGCGCTCGGTTGGTGGAAGAGTTACTGCCAAGTGGCGTGTCCAGTTTTCAGCATCTTGGAGATCACGTGTCCTGCGGAACAGGAGCATGGCAGAAGAAACGCTGGTAGAACTGGCACCACCACTCTTGTTTGCCTTTAACCCCCATGCACCTAATTACATTCGGCCTTGCCGTGCTACCCCGAAACCGCGACAGGTTCGGCTTCAAAAGCCATGAGGCGGGAAGGATCTCGCAGAACGTCCAGGACGTTTTCAACAAATCCGCGTGTCTCGAACGAATGTTCAGGAAGGGTCACGTGGAATGTTTACAGTGTGTGTACAGTGTTTTGTTTTTCTCTTGGTTTCAACACAGCAAGCTGCAAGCAGCAAGTGGCTTCTACTGTCGTCATGGCTGAATGCCTATATACGCCTTATCAGCCAAAAATTGGCGTGCCCAACAAATTCCTTTGGTCAATATAAAACAGTCAACCTTCAGGTCATTGGGTTTGATAATTGGAGCAGCCACTGCCACCCCAAGAATTCAGAGCCTCAAATGGAAAGGATTGCTTCGGGTCTAGCTTTCTGTGAAGAGGTCGCCTCCAAGATCCTCCAAGCATTGTTTGGGCGAATGGACGCACCTTAATCTGAAGGGCTTAATAATACAATTTAATACATATATCAATACCCTACAAGTCTAAAGACCAAGTATAACCCGGTCCTTTACCTTCTCGAATTGTGTTTTTGTATAACTAACGTCAGTAAAATGAGGTCAAACTGACTTAATAGGGATAGACATCCCCTCGGGGAACTCCGGTTTGCATGGATTTTGTGGCGATGACTCGCACTTGCTGGGTGAATGCGATGATCGAATCGGATCCTAAAGGCTTGGAGTTCAAAACTCACCCACACTTGGTTGATTTGTCCGATGGTCATCCCGTTCTGGTGAAGATATGTTTTGATGTTTCATGGTTCCCCAGCTCCTGAAGCAAATCCAAGCACATCAAAATGGTTCTTGTTCCCCTTTTCATCTAGGTGATGGTTTCGGATATGTTTGTTTTCAACCCTTACTTCGGGATGATTGGACCCTCTAGACTAATATTTGTTCAAGTGGGTTGAAAACACCAACAAGTCATGCTTTTTCGACTGAACATCAACGCGGTCCGAAAAGGAGATATAACCCCTCTATGTTCCGAAACTCATGGAGTCAGGAGGAGGCAAGTGGATTGGTCTCAAAACCTTCTCACGATCCACAACCTGGTTGACCGGTGCTGGAGGTTCCCCCCAAATGAACAGCGTGGATGTTCTTTGCTTTCCACCAGTGAGTCGTACCATGGCGGGGTGGTGTTGAGCGGAGGCCTTGAACGGACGTCATGGTCTAGCGAATTGCTCCAGGATCCTCTCAGCCACGCTGGCTGAGCGTCCATCTCTCGTCCGTCCCCGTCCGTGTCACCCAGGTTTCAGCACATCAAGACGACCGGCTACGCACGGACGGTCAGCAACGGCCTCCGGGACAGCACTCAGCACCGGCTTCGGCCGCGGGCGACGTCGCACGGTCCATCGGTCCCGGTGGCGGCGGGCAGGACGGTTTTTTTCGAATGACTTCAGTGCCTGGAGTCTCCAACAGGTCACCACCTGGCACATTGGAAGTCTCCAAAAAGCTATCATGTTGGGAGGCCTGTTGGAGGATTCTAGTAGTTGAGGATAGTTGAGGTCAAGTTGTTCTTGAACAACAAATAGATAGAGAGAGAGAGAGAGAGCAGAGCAGCGCGCGAGCGCGAACTCATTGTATGCAGCAGTTCCGTCGAGGTCCCTTGCTCTCAAAGAACTGAAACCTTGGACTCAGGGAATGTAGCCCTGTAGCCCAGGTTGCAAGCCTATCTATATAGTCTAATATATCCCAGACACTCCATGTATGCCATATATGCCTACATTGGGGTGGCTTTAGGGGTCAATGTATGTAAATATGCCAAACATGGAGTGTTTGGGTATTATTACATTATTAGTTGATTGTTAGTTTCACTTTATAGAATGAGCTAAAGCGAAATGACTGAAAGCAATCCTGAGAATTCGGTTCTGATTGAACATCAGCTGAGAGGTATGTCATGCAACTTACATAAGGGTTTACCCGTATCCATGTCCCGCTTCTCCTGGTCGTCAAATGAACGGACATGAACGGACCATGAGCGTCGAGCGGCGCGGCGATTCCAACTCAAGAGTTGTGTTGGTCTCGTCAAGCGCATTTGCCCATTCAACCTGTGGTAGCTTGTTCATGACCTTTTTGGAGTCCCATCCAGTGACCGAACTTCCAGGCCAGGCCTAGTGGCAAACCAGGGGATCAAGTTCGGTCACTTTGAAGAACCAGGTATATAATAGTGGGACCTACTGCTTATTGTGCTTTCACTTCTTTCTGGAGCGGCTGGAGTGCTGTAAAGGACCTAAGGATGGGTATACGGTCCAAGGCGTAACTCCCAGACACTCCATCTATGCCAGGGCGATGCACCCCCCCCACCACAAACCACTCCAAGTGATCGGCAAATATACCAGTCCCAGACAGGTCGTGTTTTTGTCTCAGCTTCCAGGGCCACCCGACCAGATACGACCAGCCCCCACCGACCGCGTTCACGTTCACCGCGGCGTTTATCGGCCTTCATCGCCCGGCTGAGAATGACGAGTCACGCGGGAACCCATGGTGACGCGGAGCCCGTTCGACTACAGAGGGTAGTGAGTGACGGTGAAGAAGCTTCCAGCCTTGGGGCAGCGAGCTGGCGCCAGCGCTCGCGCCCACTGGCGCTGGTTAGATGCCGGGGATGCCGGGTAGATGCGGTTCTTGAGTTGCAGTCACATGTCATGTAACATGACCTCATCCTCCAAACACGAGCCTTGCAATGGTTGGGATGTAGTGGTTGAGTTCAGAATGGCCATCGGATTTCTTGGTGGGTTTTCTGGATGAGCAACTTGGGTATGGAATTGTTGTGGATCCATAAAGAAGTCAAGTCTCCTCGAAACCATAGTTGACATCGACATGTTTCTTCGGGATGACCTCATATGTTCCATCCTTTGGGGAGGGGAGGAGCATGCATTCTCACCAGCACCGCCCATGGCCGAGCGGTGCCCAGCTTGCACGAATTCGTGAACGCATGGAGTTCATTGGATCTCCTGGGGTTGAGATAGGTGTGTATGTCTAGAGGAAGACACCCTGACTCAATGGGTAGACTGGTGTATGTTCCTTCTTCCAAGGCCCCCCTATTTCTATATACACACCCATCATATATGTTCTTATGTCATTCTATAGTGCAAGAAGTGAACGACTATGCTGTTCGAAGTGGCGTGGGCTGTCATAAATTTCAATCACCAGCAAGTGGCCAACAAAGATGTTGTGGTAAAACTGGTGAAGAACAAGTAATATCAGGGAGTCTTGAGGCATCCACCCGCCAGCATTTTCATGATGTTACCTTGTTTTGCATTCACTGCATGAAACACCCATGTTGCAGTAACTCTGCTGCCGGGATGGCATTAGACTGTATGATAATTTGGAAGATCTTCAGAAGACCCTCTACTTACCTCTCCTGTCCGTCGCAGCCTGGAGTGGTGCTTTCTTTGTGGAGGTCTTTATTGCCTCAAACTGCTTGATGGCATCATCACACCCAAAGGTCCCTGGAGATATTTTGCCCCGGAAGTTACTGTACCACAAAGTCCATATGGTGGATTGCAAGTAGATGGCGCAATCCCCAAGTTTGGTGGTTTAACCTTTTTTATGGACCCCCATTTGTCCAAGACATCTTGGGGTGCCAGTGCCATCTATCTACTCTGAAAACACTGCATATATTCCCTAGGGCTTCAACTACCTCCGTTTCGAAGGTGGGACTGGGGTGGATGGGTCGGAGGGTCTAGTCCTATCTTCTGAGGTGGGCCAGCCCCAGGGATTGGTCCAAATCCCGACCGACGGGACCGACGGTCTGTTCCGGGTCCGACGGTCTGTTCCGGGTCCTTGTGATGGCCACGCGTTTCGCGATGGCGACGTCATAGGCTTCGTTGCCTAAAAGCAACCGTCATAGGCGCCCATTTGGAGATCCAATGCTTTGCGCTGGCGAGTGGAGACGTCTGCCCAATTGGTAGGTCTTCGTCCGTTTGGCGCCAAGTTTCTGCTCCTCGTTTGGAGGGGCGTTGGAAAAGAGGTCGATCCTGGTGCTGCTTTGACTTGGTTGCAGACTCACCCAGAAGAGCATGTTCCTCTACAACCCAGTTAATCACTTGTCGGTTTATCTTGCTAGGAGAGTGATTGAAAGAACCTGTTGCATCCACATGCAGCCTGAGGGCGTGAACGTATATAGAAATCTACAGGAGGTGACCGTCCAAATGTCCAAGGTGAAACAGGACGAAGAAGAAGACGGGCAAACAAAAGTGCAAGCAAACTAACCTGCGCAGTAGACAGAGTTACCAGGAGTCACAAAGGGGTGGTTTTTAGCAGTGAGTGGATGTTCTGGGCACCCCTATCCTCCAAGCTCGCACCCCGTCTTGTGACTGCTGGTACCTGCTTGCGAAGTAGACAAAGTCACCTGCGCACTTCCGAGACAGGTTTGCTCCACATGGGCCATGCAGAACTGGAGCAAGCTTCGGTGGGAATTCACGAATCGTTGAGGTTCATAGGCGAACAGCAACCATGCAGTTCTGCATGCATGCGCTTCAAAAGGATGGTTTCCCCAAACAAGTACAGTGGTTTCAGAGTAGATGGCACGGACCTCAAGATGTCCTAGACACATGGGGGTTCATATAAACCACCACCTGGGGTCTGTGCCATCTACTCTCAATCCATACTCCTTTCATATCAAACAATCGCCCGGGAGGCTCGCCGAGCATGAAAAGCCGTTGTGACACTTCGATGGAGTTTCCAGAACAGCCGGTTTTCGACAGCAAAAGTGCACCAGTGAAACGTTCGTTCGGCCAGTGGTTGGAAAGTTCTGTTTGAAACAGAGGGACTCCCAAAAAGAAAAGCTGGGAAGAGATTCAACGAAACACATTGCTTTAAAAAGTCTTGCTATATCGGCTGTAAAAAGTTTTCATCTATCTTGATGGATTAATGGATGGAAAGAAAAGGCTTCGCTGGCGTTTGGCTGTGGTGCACGAAGCTGATAGGATCGCCTGGATCGCCTCTGGATTTAGGGAGAGTTTGGCCCGGCAGGCGTTCTGAAAAGTTGCGAAGTTCATTTAAGTTCTTAAGAAGTGTGAGCCGTTTAATCAGTTCATTTGTAGCTTGAATCCACATATGACATGGAGTGCGGTGAGGCAGAGAGTTTTCGGCAGTTGTTTAATGGTTTTCTCTCCCTAGCGCTCCAAGTACCTCCTTAGAAGGTATTTGGACCCTCTAAGCCCACCCCAAACCTTCTAAGAAGGTCCTTGGAGCCCTAGGGTCTATGATTATGCAAGAATTTAGGATCGATCAAGAAGTTGCTTTTGAGATCGATTCCAAGCATGTACCAGCACCGAACCACTGCGTCTCCGACGTTTCGGGTTGGGTGGGTGGGAAGTGGGAAGGGCCTGAATACTAGCGTTTCAATAGGTGACCTGGTTGGCCGTCGGTGCTGGTAGAAGGGATGTGTTTTGTTTTTGTTCCTCTTGCTGTTCTCACAGGTTCCGCGCAGCGCAAGCACAGGGACCTGTGGGAACCTCTGGGACCTGGACACGGATGGTTCACGCACTCGGCCTGAAACGCGACGACCAATCCAACAAACACAGGCGTGGAGTCGAGGACGGCCTCCAGTCGTACCGAACTCGTTTCGAAGGTGGAACTGTGGTGGGTGCCCAAACGTCGGGTCCAGTCATACCGAACCTGAGGAGGTACGACGTGAAGCAACCATGGGGAACATGAGGAAGCCGCGTGTTTTTAGACGACACATGGCTGTGGGGCACAACCCGGAGCCCAAATCAAAACCATGGTAGAAACACTACTGTTCATATCTGTTCATGTTCCGTGGTCAACCAGGGTTTCCTGGTTTTGACCCACAGCCATATAGGGAGACCTCCCAGGCGTTCCGACCTCCTGGAAGAAGCAAAGTGTAGACTCGACCCATTGGGCATGTCATTTGGCCGGGCTTCCTAACTTAAATACAGTCCCATGACCTGGTTTTGCTCAAGGTGATGTCTATTTTCCCTATGGCCCCTATGGGTTCATCCTTTTCTCATTGTTTTTACTTTGTCCAGGTTCCTTAAGCAAATCCAAGATGATCGATTTTAGAATGTATAGCATTCAACCTGCCAGCCATACACGTCAATCCCGTAAATAAGCAAGATAAAACAAGCTTTTGGCGCCAAAGCTCAAAGCTGTCTAGAGGGGAGCGCCCTGCCGGATCCTGCCAGTGACCAGTTGTGACTTTTTTGAAATGTCTTTTTTGTGGCACATCGAGTTGCCGGTGTCCTTTGTGCATTGACTGGCAGATTTGGCAAGAATGCCCAAAGGGGCAGAGGGAGTGGAGACATGTCGACCAGCAAGTTTTTGTATGAACGTATAAATATAGTGCCTATTTGAAAGTGGTTTCGTTCATAGGATTGACTGTTCATAGTTTTCTATCGTAGTCAGTGCCAAAAGCTGTGTTTATCCACAAAAAGGATTAGTATGCTCAGCTGTTGCACTATATTTCCGTATCGGATGGGTGCCCAGCAGTCCGTTGGAAGCACATGTTTTTCCATGATCGAGTCACTGGCACAGAACCTGACGAAGTTGGCTTTCGGAGTATCAAGGTTCAAGAAACGACTTGGACCCTATGAAGTTCAATTTTAACAAATTGATGGGGGATGACATGACCCTACATGACCCTTAAGAGTAGGGACTTGGAGACATTGCTTGGACCTATGTGGATTCCTTACAGACCTGGAGTCAACCCGTTCGTAGCTCAGAACATGGCTCCAAGCATATTACCTCCCTAGGGATCCAAGTAACTTCTGAGAAGGTTTGGAGGTCCAGTCCCTAGGGCATATTACCTGTACCCAAACACTCCATGGGACTGGCATGTTTACCTACATTGACCCCTTTTCAACAGCCTCAATGTATGGGTTCATATGCCAGTCCCAAACAGGTCGTGTTTGGGATATGACCTGTTTCCTCAACACATTGATGGGGGTCATGTCCCACTTACGGAACCGAACGGTCCGTCGACGTCCTCGACGTCTTCGACGTCCTGGGGGGTTCGGTCACCGAAGACCAACGATGCCCAACAAGTGCAGCGAGTGCAAGGTTGGGCGTTGAACCGGGCGCTGAAGGGCTTTGATGAAGGGTTTCTTTTGATTGCCCTGATGGACGTGACGTCAAATTCATTCCAAAGTTGGAGTACTTACAACTCGGAAGAATGATGGTTACGTGGTTGGCACCACCTGTTTGGTATTCCGAAAGTGGTCGTTCATCTCTTCTCCTCTCCGTGTGGGTCTGGCGAACTCCGCTGTTGGCGAATCAGCCGACCCATCCGACTCTGCAACGGACGACGCGACACCGGCGCTCGTCGGTGTCGCGCGCTTCTGCGCGGCGCCGCGCATTTGGACGTGGCGTCGCCCGCGCCGCGCGCGAAGGTGCGGCGCTCCTCAAGGGGTCTCGTCGCCTGGAGCGAAAGCAGAGAGTATGGCATATGGCGCTCGTGGAAAGAAGTCGTCGCTTCTTCGGGAAGGTGTCGCGGACGTGTCGCTTCTTCCGGTTCTTTGTTGATGTTTGTGGAGCAAAACTCTGAGATGTGAACGGTGAGAATTATATATAGCACTCAATGAGATGGTTGTAGGTGGGTTCAGCAGGAGAATGTTCCCTTTGAGGAGTCAATTACATCTAATTGCCATGGAAGAAGTGAAGCACTACACATGCCACATGCAGTACAGCTGGGTCACCACCTGACATCACCGGCTGGGGCTTTCCGAACGGTTTCACCGTTCACGTGGACGAAAGACCAGGCAGTTGGACGAATCAAGCGTCGGTTTCATCGCAGTTTGCCACGGCACGGCTTGTAAGAACAAACAAGAGTCGCACCCTGCGTCCGGTAGCTCACTTCACTGGCAGCCAGATGTTCAGCTCACATTTGCAGCTTTTTTTGCTAGGATTTGCATGATGTTTGTTATGTGTTTATGTGTTCTTGAAGTTTATTCTTTCTCGGAAAGCTAGTGGATTCACATTCACATCAGATCAAAGCCTTGATCCGTAACCAATCCATTGAGGATCATTCAGGGACAAACACCTCCTTCACATCCCCCATTCTGAGCAGGTATGGCATGTTTGTGAATCCTGAGGAGGATTACATTACATCGGATCTTTCTTTTTGTTTGGCCAGTTGTGACCGTATCATTCGTTCAATATTCGTTTCTACTTAAGTCGCATAGGGCGTAGGTTCTCCGGGGTTTGACTTGCTGTGCTGGGTGTTGTGCTTCTTCAGTGGAGATATATAATCATTTTTTGGAGATCCACCTGAATGTGTTGGATACATTGTAGAACCAACACTGGTTTTGCAGCCTTGAGATTCTGACATATTCTGGTCATGGCTCAAGCCAGCAACTCTTGCTGAATCTCACTGATGCAGGTCACAGCTTTATCCGGGACAACAGTTGCCCAGCTTGATGAGGATGAGTACCTTGACATGGTGGAAAGTGGGAAATCCATCCGTGATCTAAAGCAACTCCTCTCCACTCAGGTTGGGTGCTCCAGGTTTCAGCAAAGACTCTTCAGTGACGAATCGGGCGAACTGCAGGATGACATGCCCTTAAAACCACTACCATCTATACAGCTGGTAGTCCTGCCTATTTGTGCTTCTGATCCGATTTCCGAGCAAGAACTGCTTCTCACTTGTCAAGAAAACAGAGTCATTGATGTTGAAAGACTGCTTCAAAAACCACAGGACCCAAATGGGGGAGGTTTGTTCGGTTTGTTCGTTGCGGCCCACAATGGCCACGTGGAAGTTGTGCGGCTGTTGCTTGAGGCTGGAGCCACTCAGCAAACAACAAAACAAATGGGGCAACGGCTTTGATGATTGCCGCTGAGAGTGGCCACTTGG